TAATAGAATTTAAAGAAAGATTTAATCTAAATATTCATTTAAGACTATAAGGACTTTTATAATTTATTAGAACGATTTAGAATAATATTATTCGGAGAATAAATAATTATTTCTTTATTAAAAGCGTTAAAGAAAAATATTTAATTGTAAAAAGTAAGAAAGGATATAGGGGTAATAGAAATAATAGAGGAAGGCACTGATTATATATATATATATGTATAAAAGTGAGTCTGCTTAAGGGATTTATCGTAGATTCAAAGGGAAGATTTGATTTGGGGTGGTATATAGGAATATATACATTAGTTTTTAATAATAATTTTTTTTTTTTCAAAAATTTTTAAAATATATAGGATTAGGGAAGTACTTTCTAGATTGAACAAACCTAGACAGTTAGTATAAAAAAAGAATAGAAAAAGAAGGAAATTAAATATAAGGAAATAAAATAAGAGATTAATAGAACATTAACCTTTTATTAAACTAAATAGTCAATTTCTATCTCTTTAGCAATTCTTAGTTATACAAAATTAGTTTTTAATAGTCACTAATTCTTTATCTTTATTTATTTAGTATACTAAGTAATCCTTTATCCTTCTTAAGAAAATACTCATTTATATCCCCATTTACATCCGAAAGAAAAATATAGAAAGATCTAATAATTACCCTCGTTTTCCGGCGAAAACTAAACATTAAACCATTCAATAAATACGTAACTCCAATAAATCGTATCTAGCTTAATACCTCCCATCTCAACCATCCGAAAAGACTTAAAAATTATTTACTACTCTACCTAATCAGACAGCTAAGAACTACAGTCCTTATGCATCGTGCTGGTCGTGGTAGTGTTGGTGTTATTATTGTAGTTTTCTCGCCATTTCAATACCCCTCCCTAACTTAGGAGTAGTATTTATAATTATAGGATTAGGTTAATTATTATAATACCTATCTATCCTTCGCTTATACCGCCTATTAGATTTAAATAAAATGGGGTTATAATATCCCTCTCTATTCGATTTTACAATATTTTAATAAAATAAAGAACCCTACTAATCTTATTTAAATTTAAGAGTATAAATTGTAATTTTAATTAACATATATAAAGGTTAGTAATTAATTAATTTTCGAGACTATTTTATTCTATTAATAAATTAATTTAGAAATGCAAAGTATAGGTACCTCCATTAAATTTTTATAGTAAAAAGCTTATAAAATTTAATTAGGGTACTTAGAAGCCTATAATTACAAACTAACTAACGAAGTAGTATATTCTATCTTTAGAGAGAAGTAGTACTATTTTTTCAAAAAGTAGTATTATATTTACAAGCGTACTTTTTACAACGAAGCAATTAAAGCGTCCAAAAATAATAATAAAATATATTAAACAATAAAGGAAATACAAATACTTATTACTATTATTCCTAAAAGTAACTAATATAATATAAATAAGATTGGGTTATATTAGTAGCATACTACTTTTTACTAACTAGCTTTAAACATACAGTTAAGTATAAAGAAAGATAAATCATATATATCGCTTATATTTATAATTAATAATATTAGTAATAAATATTTCAATATTTAAGTAATTAGGAGGTTTAAAGAATTTTACACTCTACGTAGGTTTAATTTTAATAACATACGAATCGTTTAACGAAATAATAATAAAGTATAAATAATTAGGAAAATTATAAAAGAATAACTTTAATTTTTTTATACGTATATTAATTGTAAAAAGCCTAGACAATTAATATTTTTATTATTTGATAGCTTTTTTACTTACGAATTTAACATTAAATTAGCGTTTTCCCCTTTTTATATTATTATTAAAATCCTACCTACTAACGTTACTTTTTTATATTAACCGATGGATTAGGGTATTATTAGTACTTTTAAGATTTATTATTATTATTACTTTTTATATTAGATATACTAGTAATTTATTAACACTTCTATTACTAAGGATTATATTAATAAAATAAATTTGAAGATTATTCTTAAATAGATTTTATAAATTTGGTTCTTAGAGGTAAAATGTAATACTATTTACGGTTATTGGGTTAAATCTATTATAATTAATAATAATTTAGAGATAATTATAATTATTAAGCTATTATTTTAAAATATTAATATTATCTTTGAGCGAGTTAATAATTCCGTCCCTATACGGGATCGAATGATTTTGTCTAATTTTTTTAACCCTAAAAACAAGGATAAAGTACTTATAGAACTAAAAATAGTAGACGAGGTATTTGAGTTTATTATTACAGATTGGGAAATAGAAAATAGTAAGAATAAAATAATAGTAGAAGAAGACGGTTATAATACTTAGATTCTAATTACAATTTTAAGTAAGGAGGTAATATAGCACATTGGCGATATATTAGACTAGGCTCTTAAGAAGGACTATTTTAAATTTAAGGAGCTACAGTAGTTGAAACGGTTAAAATAACAAGTAGAAGGTTGGAAAACTAATAGAAAAACTCAAATAACGATTGAGGGGATATTGGAATATAGAAAAGAATAAAAATGTATGGGATTTTAATACTTTTGATATAGCGTACCCCTTAATGCAAATGCCCCCCTTTTGCAAAAAAATTTCGCCTGCCTGCATTATTTGCATTAATAGGGCACCTTACTGTATTCCAATTGGCGTCATTACATTGTACGGGTCCTGTTTCAATCTTTCGTGCTCAACTCAACCTCCAAAGCTCCAAATTCAAAGCTCCAAGCTCCAAGCTCCAAATAACCTCCGCCACCGACCTCGAACCTCCCACAACCTCGACCGAAGACTCGTTCCCCCATAATCGGAAGGCGACCACAAAATGCGCGGCCAGTCTCCCCTGGTCAGGGCGGCGCGGACTGCGCGACTGACTAGAACCTCGACAACGACGACGACACCTCTACTACTAAACACCAGAACCAACAACTTCGTCTGCTGGCAATGTCGCTCTATCCAGATCAGCGCCAAGCCCGCCACCGACTCCCGTCCCGCCCCCGATGTCTTCGATGCGCTCCCTGGCGGCCCGCGTGACACTGCCGACGCCCGCTTCGAAGTCATTGGCGCTCCCGCCTCTCTCCTCTCCGTCACCTTGTCCGCCTCCCAACGCCTCTACACCCGTCGCGGCACCCTCGTCTCCGTCGCCGGCAAGGTCGAAAACGCCCAATCGACCCTCTCCGTCCTCTCCCCTCTGCCGCGCGCCTTCCTTGGTGTTCCCTTCCTCTACCAGCGCATCTCCTCGACCACCCCCATCACGGCCCTAATAGGCACCAAGTCGCCCAACACCAGCTTCTCGGTCCTCCACCTCGACGGAACCACCGATTACATGGTCGCCCAGCGCAACGCCCTGCTCGCTTGGACAGGCCACACCATCCGCGTCTCGCCGCGCATCCAACACGGTCTGGCCCCCGCCAACTGGGGCGCCACCCACGTTACCGGTCGCGGCCTCGTCGCTTTGGCTGCCCCAGGCCAGATCTACGAGTTGACCCTAGCGGAAGGCGAAGAACTCACCCTCCACCCTTCCCACGTGGTCGCTTACTCCGTCACCCGCAACCCGCCTCTGCCCTTCCGCTTCAAGAGCACCCGGCTCAACCTACAAGTCCCCGCTGTCCCGCACTACATCAGCAACGCCGCGTCCAGGCTCGTGCCCGCCAAGGTCTCCGAGTTCTTTGCCCAGATGAGGGATACCCAGTTCTACACCATCCTCGCAAGGATACTATACGGCCTCAGGACGGCGACGAGAAGGACCATCTGGGGCGATAGACTGTTTATGCAGTTCCGCGGCCCGACGAATATCCTCATGTCTAGCAGGGGCGTGCGCGTCTCGGACGTATTAAGCAGAGAGGATGTCAACGAAATTGCCGACACGGAAGCGGGGGTGGTTGGCAAGGCTTTGGGAACTTCTAGGATTGAGAAGGAGAAGGCCAAGGCCAAGGCGAAGGCGAAGGCTTTGGAACAAAAGAAGACGGAGACGCCTCCCCTGGTGGCTGAGATTGCGGTGGCTGGTGAGAAGGTTGACTTTGCTGAGGAGGCCAAGATTCCTGCTGAGAAGGTTATTGAGGACGTTACGGGTGAGGAGAAGGAGGGTGAAGCTGCTGAGACCAAGCCTGTCAAGTTGAGGGATGCGAGCGTGGGGAAGGATGCAAAGGCCACGCTTGAGGAGTCCAAGGACTTGAACCAGTTTGTGCGGTGAGCGGTTGATTGTAGATTGTAGGTTGGCTGCAGGGCATGTAATTTTCTTTTCGTCGTCTTCTTCCTTTTTCTTTGTGTTGTAACGATAGAACCAATGTGCATGGGTATTCATGAAGAAGGAAGGCATGGGCATGGGGCAATCCATGGCATGAGAACGCTAAAAGGTGTGGATGTGGGAGGGAGGGAGGGAGGGAGTGGAATGAAAAAAGAAAGAACTTGTTTTGAAGCTCGGTGTTCAACATGCTTTTGTGCTTGAATTGCCTATAGATGTCGTGCCATGCGGCCAGATCTACCATCCGCCAGAACCTCCCTATATCTATCCAAGAAAAAGCACTCATTGAATTCACCCAAAATATCAAACTCTGTCAAGAATCCAAGACGACAAACACGCTTAAAGCTCTCCTCCACCCGCCACGAGCCTCCTATGACTCGTCTCGCTGACACCAAAGGGCCCTCCCTATACCCGCCTTAACTTTCCAAGCCCCAACAACTGTCAAAACAAGACCTAACCGATTCCATGCTCCCTAGAACCGACAATACCGGTATACACCTCCAGGTAGGTAAGCTACCTTGGGTGATCACGCAGAACCCCTTCGACCACGCTACCCCCAAAACGATATGGACCTAGGTATTCCAGGTGACTGGAGATGCGCGATAAATGTATCCAACAGCTCACAATCAACTCAAAGCGCCCTTCATCGTGCAAGGTACGAGCCCTTGAAGCCATTGGTAATGATAAGCGAGACTGAGATTGAGAACGCCCGAGACTCTTATCGCCATCAAGGTACCTCAGTTATACCTGAACCTAGAAAAATCAATGTTTTTTCGACGGGCGTGATGCCATCGTCTTCTTCCCATTGAATCTCGGCTTAGAGGCAGTGTAGGGATATTGGGCGCAGTAAGTAGTGATAAACTCTCTGGCTGTCAAGTCAAGACGGTCGGGTATAGGCTTGCGGCGTTTGAGGTCAGCAGAAAGCCTCAACCAGCTGTTTTGTTTGTAGAAGGTGGTCGAGATGGTGTTTTTGTCCTTGTTGTTGGTTTGTCGAGTAGTGTCCTGGGTGGTCTGGGTGTCTTCTTTGGTGCTGGGCAGTGCCGTCTTAGGCACGGTGCCGAGGTAGTGCACTTCTGTGTCCGTGTCTGTGTCTTCCAGATACTCCCCTGTCTGTTCTATGTCGTCTTGGTTCTCTTTCTTGATCTTCGGTGTAGAAATATCCAAAGGATGACCAGCAGAAGGAGAAATCGAAGGAGGTAATGACGGAGGAGGGCATAACGAACATGGCACATCTTCTATATCCACCACCTTTTGCTTTTGCAACTTGTCCACTTTCTCCTTCAACGCTTGTCTGTCCTGCTCTTTTCTGGTTGCCTTATTTCCTACCACCATCCCTTCTCCTCTTGCAATTTCCAGCCCTTCTGCATACGCTCTGCAAGTGGCTTGGATGGGACATAAGTGGCACAAGGGCGTTTTCGGCGCCGCGAGACAGACGGCTGCTCCCAGTTCCATAAGCGCTTGACCCCAGCGTCCCGGCCGGTCACTGAGAGGGGGTGGCCCTCGGTTTCTTCTTCTGTCTTCCCCATCAACCACGTTTTCTCCCTCGTTCATATTTTTTCGGGTTCCCTTCTTGCTTATCCCAAACCGCTTCGCCTTGGCCTCCTCCTTGGCCTCCACTCCATCCCAGGCCACTTGCTCCACTAACCTCCTCGCCGCTTCCCAAATCACCTCCCGAGCGTCCTTCTTATTCGCGTCCGCTCTGATTCCCAGTTGCCGCGCCAGGACGCGGGTGACGTCCCAGATGACCATCGGCTCTGCTCGCCCAAAAACTACAGCAGCCACCACACCAGCAGTATGAGGCCCGACGCCCGATAGGTTTTGGAGCTTCTCAACCGTCGTCGGCAACCGAATAGTCTCGATACATCTGTAACTCTTCCCTTCGCAAACCTGTCTCGCCGCCTTGTGTAAACGTGTAGCGCGGATGTCGTCTGATAATTCCTCCACCTCTTCCTCTTTCGCCTTGGCCAAATCCTCCATCGTTGGAAAAGCCTTTATCCACCGGTTATATTGCGTTGTGATGTTCTGTATCGCCTGCTCCTGGTCCGTCTCACGGAAAATTTGGCGCAAAATTTCGGAGAGGAGAGTTTCGTAAAAACGTTGCGCGATGGTGGACCGGAGGGATTGGAGAGTTTGGGCTTGCTTTTGGGATTTGGCTTTGGCTTCGGCTTCGACTTTTGCTTGAGCGTGGGCGCGGGCTCTCGCTTCAGCTTCAGCTTGGGCTTGCTGTTTTTGTGCCTCAGCTTCGGCTTGGGCGCGGAGAATCGAGGCAGCTAGGTTGGGGAAGAGGAGGACTGATTCCGGGATCGGTGGGGAAGCTTTCACCTTGGGACCCACAAGCGAGTCTGATGTCGGCTGAAAGCTGGAAGTAGGGGGCTTGGAAGCGGAAGCGGGAGCGGGAGCGGAAGTGGTGGTGATTGTGATGGAGGGAGAAGGGATACCGCTGGCAGGGCAAAGCAACGGACTGGCATCAACCCAAGCCTTCCGCCACGGCATTTGGCGAGCTGCACAGTATGTGTCGAACCAAGTGAGGAGGGCATCGCGGTGCTTGCGGGCTGCAGCTGTGGATTTCCCCGTAGAACAAGAGTTCGAACTTCCTGGGAAGGATAGGAGGAGGGGATTGTGGTAGCTATGTCGATGAGGTTGGTCTGGCGGGAGTGGGTAGGTGTGGATATCGCTATGGGCTCGAGCAGAACTGGAGGAGAAGATTTGGGCGATGATCTGTTTAGTTGGCAACACTGTGGTGGTTTCGGGCCTCAACTGAGTTGCTGTCGTGCTGATTGCGGTAGTATTCGCCCGGCCAGTCTTGGTCTTTTGGCGTTTGCGGGTTCCCAAACTCATGGACTCGAAGGCGGAGTCGGAGTCGGAGTCGGAGTCTCTGTCTAATTTTGTCCTGGGCTCGTCCTCTTGAAAGTCCGGCTTGCGCTTGGTGATGGTTCTTGGGCGATTTGGTTCAAATCTGTTGGCATGGCTGGAGCCATGATGGGGCCCGAACTTGGTGACAACAATCCCCTCTTCTTGCACATTAGCGTCCTCTTCTTCCAGATGACCGTCCTCGTAGATGACCTCCATTCCGTTTTCCTTTCGAACGAAAGCGGGAAAATCCGAGAGACTAAAGGCGTCATGCTCGGGCTTGATGGGAATTGACACGCCATCTTCTTGCTTGATGGTCACGGTTGTGATACTCCCAGGTTGGGCTGCTGTTGCCGTTGATGCATGGGTCATGGCGGTTTGAACGGTGACAGCTGGGGTGCTTGGACGCCTGTTCTTGTCCATGATCCTGGCCCAACGAGACTCGACGTCTTCGTCTGGTCGCGTTCCGCCGGTGTGGTCAAGTTGCGTGCGAGTGTCCAACTTGGTCCGAATTTGGTGAAGCGGTGAACGCGTTGCATTTTGCGAGAATCGCGTCTCGGCAAAGTTGCTATGCACGTCTAACCCTAACCCCATATCGCTCTTGATGATGACGGATGAAACTCCCAGTCATGCTTTCCTTGACCAACTCCCAACACTTCTTCATCCCCGTCCCCATGTTTTCCCCCTCAATCTCCTCTATCGTGGCCCACCGCTTCATCTTTGCATTACCTTCTCCTCTCTCACTTCCGACTTCATCCCCCTCTACCAAGTCAACGGCCCAAACATGCATCGCCAACTTGAAATGCGAAAACGTCCACGGCACCGTCCCCAACTCTTCCTCGTTCTCCCTCCAACTCCTCACTCCCACCTCTTCCAATATCTCCTTCAAAAACATGTGCACCTTTTTCATCTTCTTCGTACCCGGTTCATTGTTCCATGTCAAATCAGCAGGCAAGGTATGGCTGGGAAGCTCCCACATGCCCGCCAGCAGACCCTTGGCCGGCCGCTTATGGATCAGGTAGCGGCCGTCGGATGGACGTCGGATTGCTACCACCAGACACTCTTCCTCGCGCAGCTTCTTCGTCTTGGCTTTCGTGTAGGGATACTTTGAGCAGTGAGAGGCGATGATTTCCATGGCGGCTGAAGATGGCTCTGCTGGATCGGAGTCCTCTGCTGCTTCTTTCTTGCGGCGCGTACCTGAGGCTATGAACTCGTCAAAGAACGCGGACACCTCGCCTTGCTTCTTCCGCTTCTTCGTTCCAACATCACTCTCCTGCTTGCCAGACTCTTCCGCTTCGGGTGGGGGACATAGCGTGCAGGAATCTTCAATGTCCACCACTCTCTTCCTCGCCGTCGCTTTTCTCCCCGGCATCAGTCCCTTTTGAGTCGCAATCTCCACCCCCTCTTGATAAGCCCTGCAAGTTTCCTTGACAGGACACAGTCCACACTTGGGTTTCGCTGGCCCTGGTAAACAGACAGTTGCTCCAAGTTCCATCAGCCCCTGACCCCATCTGCCCGGCCTGTCACTGACCGGCGGCTCCTTTCCCTCCCGCTCCTCTTCGGTGGCATCAGTGCCGTCCCAAGCAACAGCCTCAACTAGCCGCTTAGCAGCCTCCCACACCACCTCCAGCACTTCCTTGCTCTTGACATCCCCTCTGATTCCCAACTGCCTCGTCAACACCCTGATAACATTCCCATCAACCATTGGCTCCGCGCGACCGTACACGATGGACGCAACGGCGCCAGCTGTGTACCGCCCCACGCCCGGCAGCTGCACCAACTTGTCCACCGTATGCGGGAGCAACCCGTCATACCCACCTTCTTCGGGGGGCGGACAGACCAGTTGAGCAAGTGCATGAAGGCGGGTGGCGCGCGAGTAGTAGCCGAGGCCCTTCCAGAGGGAGAGAACTTCCTCTGGCTGGGCGGCTGCTAGAGACTGCATGGTCGGGAGGGCGGCTAGCCATTTGTTGTAATATGCAATGACGGTCGATACTCGGGTCTGCTGTAACATGGTCTCGGAAAGCAACACCTCGTAGGCCCGCTGGGCTACAATTTCTTTCAGTTCTTGGGGAGAGACGCCGGACGAGGAGGAGGAGACGAGGGAGGTGGTGTCGATCCATGGTTTTCGCCAGGGCATTTGCCGAGAGGAAGAAACAGAGTCAAACCAGGTGAGGAGGGCATCGCGGTATGTGCGGGCCGTGGGGGAAGAGACGAGGAGGGGGTTGTGGTAGGTTAATGGATGAGGATGGGATGGATGACATGGGGGTTCGTTTCCTTGAGGGAGGGGGCAATCGAAAAGCTGAGCGACGAGGGCCTTTATCGAGGTTGCTGTTGCTTTGGGTTTGGCTGTTGTTGCTTCGATAGTGGTAGTGGTAAGAGTAGAGGTGCTGGCGGTGGTGGTAGCCGATGCTTTCGTCCTCGTCGTCACCGTCTTCGTCGTCACTGTCTTGACGGTCGTGCTCCTCGTCTTCCTATCCGCTCGCGATGCTTGCCCACCCGCAGTATTCCGACGTTTAGTTGGCCTGACATCTGAGTCGAACTCACTTTCGTCAATGTCCGAAAGGGCGGAGGAGTCTGAGTCTGAATCGGCATGCTCTGGCGCAGTGTAGTGGCCCAGCGGATCGACCTTTGCGTCCGCGATTCGAGCGCTGCGGCGCCTTGTCTGGACCATTTTGTTACTCAAACCAAGACTTTGACACCTCCAAATTTGATTTCAAATGTTATTTTGTGTTTTCATGCAAGCGTTGATGAATTATGGGCGAGTGTCCAACATTAGATCTCCCAAACCGCGTTTGTTGTTTGGTGAAGAAATCGCGTCTTGGCGATGTGCCAAGCAGCCATGAGCCAATGCCAGTCTTGGAAGCCGTACATGGTCAACCCTAACCCTCGTTGTCCCAAGTTCTCACTGTTTACCACCCCTTTCCTTTGGTGTCACGACACCAGAGAAGACGTCAAGTCACATCCAGGTTGCTTCGACTGAACAATGGCTAAAAAGTCATTGCGACCCATCGATCTACCATGTGCCGAGCCAAAATGGTGCGAAACACGGCATGAGCCGAGAACAGTGGGTGGTAGGTAGCATTCGGGGATATCACCCGGATGAATAATGGTTGGGAACGAAGCCGGGCCGCCGGATTTCATCTCGATCATTGCCTTTTCGAGATTTTTCCAGATTAATACACTCCATTCCGGCCCTGACTTTATGCTCAAGCCGATCCCAACAAATTATCTGGAAATTTCCTGCCGGGTGAGTTCCTGGGCCGGGATACATAAGATCACCGCTCTTCTCTCCTTACATGTATGCCGGCCCATATGTGGAGGCACTCTCCCACACAACACACAATTCTTCTTTCTCCACCACGCCATAACTCATCAATACTATCAACACACAATGCTCACTTCTTCACTTTTCGCTTCTTTATTGACGTTGATTGGCAGCGCCGTCGTCAAAGCAACAGACTACGGTCCCTGCCCCTACAATGACAACGAAAATTGCTGGGAGATCATGGACAACACCGCTTGCTTCTTGAACCCGACGAGCACGGAGCAGATCTTTGCTTGTATTTCTGGTGGGAAGGAGGGTGTACGTTGATTTACTACCTAACCTTTCATACATATCCGAATTCCTTGACCACTACTAGAGAAGAAGGTCCTTCAAAACTGGATGCTTGCTTGCTTGCTAACTGCAACCACCTGTGTTCTTGGGTGTAGGTCTGCGCATGCTATGGATGTCTTGGGTATTCGCCGGTTACGGAGCTGATTCGGAAGGAGGATGCTTGTCGGTTGGTGTTCCCTTCCCTGCTGTCCTGTGAGAGAATTTTGGGGGGAAGTAATATGGAGGACGGGAAGGAAAGATGCTGATTGTTGACAATGGGATTGGTTTAGGGACGTGAATACCGATGCGCCGACGCCGACTCCGACGAGTGTTGAGAGAGTTAGGAGGGTACTGTGGGCGTAGAGTAGGATATGAGACTGATGTGAACGGTTGCAGTATGGGGCTGGATGTCCGTGAATGGCTGAAGCTTCAACGGAGCTGCGTATGTGAAACTAAGGCTGCATTTGTTTTGGTACGGTTGCAGTATAAATGGCCTCATACGGCCATATCCGTAGAGGCACAGTTTCGTACAACAGAGCCATCATTGAGTATGCTGCTGTATGAAATTGCAATCTACGAACCCCCTTAGTCGGGTCAGGGTTATATATATGCTAGAAAACTGTACATCTTCTTGGAATAACCGTACAAAGCCACCAAAATGCATACAGGCCCCAAAATATGTGTAGTATTTACCGTAGCTATACTCGTAGTCTGCACTCTACAATGCCCTATAAGCTCTAGGGATCTTAGCAAGGACTTTCTTACCATCGACACGGGACAACTTAAAGTTCAATTGAGAAAGAGTACCTGGTACGCGTTACAGGGTGGAAAGGACCGGGAAGGAAGGAAGGAACCGAAGCGAATGTACCTTCATAAGACGGAACAATGAAGATGAAGAAGCTAAAGACCAAACGAGTTACCACCAAAAAGTATACCATACTCCATGGAAAGCCAATCCCCCTGCCCCCAGCCCTCTGAGTGCCGATTCTCCTGCCACTTAATCCTGTCTTTGGCCGTCAATGTTTACCTACTTTGAGTGCCATGTACATGTTCCTTTCGAATGTGTCTCATGAGGTTGTCCTCGCGCGTGAACATCATGCTCGCATCAGAAAACTTGCAATTCTGAACGGGACAGTGCCAACCTGTCGCGCTTGAGAGAAAAGGCTCCCCGGTTACACCCAAAGTAGCCATGCTCCTCGTCGCATTTGACTGATGCTTCCGCGTATTCTGGTGGCGCTTAAAGTCCCGCTTGGTGTTGGAAGAGAACGAGCAGGGCTGGCAGGTATACCGGCGGCCGTGAGTGCTTGGGATGTTCGCCATATCAACTTCGGAAGGACGAGCTGCCACTGAGGGAGAAGGGGACTTGGCCTGAGACAGTAGTGGGCTAAAGATCTGGGCATTGTTGGCTGTGTTAAAGTCCGGCTGTTCGATGACACCGTTCCTGTTCAACAAGTCGTCGCCGTCGCCGCCTTCGTACAACCCCGTTTCACCGGTGGCATCGGGATATGCACGGTGCCCCTGGTCTTGGGGAGTGTTTAGACCCTGCAAACGGTCGTTAGACATGAAAATGTTCTTTGGAAGACGGAGGTTTGTGTTCTTTGACATGGTAACTGCTACGTACCTCCGGGTTGAAGCCCTGGAAGTCCATGGTATTGGTAAGGTCTGGCTCGGCGGACAACACATCAACCGCAAGCTGTGCGTTTATATAAGGATTCTAGAGTAAACGAGGGTGAGCGGGGATGTCAAGACATCCGGTATGTAGGGGTAACTGATGGAGAAACACCAAGCTCGGATAGAAGAAACCCATCTGATGCCGGGACAAGATACGATAATAAAGACTTGAAAGTCGTACAAACCAAACAGTTGTCTCCATCGAAGGACTGACGTTCGCCGGTAGGGGCTGAAGTTCCTGGTCATCTGGCCATAAAGCCATGTCGTCCCCATGTGCATCCGCATGGCGATATGGGAGGATATCCGTCATGACTGTGATCAGTGGAAGATACTGGGCCCAATGACGTCTTAGGGTGGTAGTAATGGAAGGTAATGGAGTGAGAATGCTATATAAGGGAATGATGCTGGTAGTTTCCTGGAGCAGCTAATGTCGCATATGAGGGAGTGAGGTAGTGAGTCCTGGCATTGCACGCCGGAATCTGCTCTGTCTTTATACCTACGCTAGACACTTTGTTGGGAGTGCGTTCTGCAACGCAAACATATCTCCTAGAGATAGGTAGGCACCTGATACAACCACTCGAAGATGTACCTAAAGAGGCCATCACCAAAGTTTAGCTGACCGAGTCTGCTGGTGTGGCTCATTACTCAAAAAGAATCGTGCTCCTGTAATGAAAGCTGGGAGGCTCCTTTGGGTTTAGGGCTGTCTAAAAGTGCGATGCAGTGAAGATCCCTGCCTGCTTTTGCAACCCCCTCCTTTTGCAAAATCCCCCCTTTTGCAAAAGATTTCGACTGCCTGCATTCCCTCTAGTGGTAATTCCTGCAACCTACAATTTGCAACGCTAACAGCCCGGATTTACAAAAGCAGGGGTCGAATTTGGTGGGGCGGGCACTCTTATACCCGTATACCGGGGTCTGATAGCTCCAGGGGATCCACCTTTCTAATACCTCTAACCATTGCTAAGTGGCTAGAAGACTCTTACCTGGTCTGTGCTCCTGTCCTCCCTTTTGCAAACCCCCCTCTTTTGTAAAAAATCTGGGCTGCCGGCATTAGTTGTAAAAGCAGGGGTTCTTACTGTGTATAGCTGCGGCACAAACTGGTGAAGAACGGGGAAATGGTTTCGCAGAAACGGCTCGCAATTCAAGTCCGTCATTGGCTGAGAACCCATACCTCTACCCGATACTACCTACGTAACACATCATGCACAATGCCAAGAAACGCCATTCGAATCGTATTTGTGAGTGAAAGGGCTCATTGGAAAGGGGTGTGGCAGCTGCACGAGCGAGAGTGAGTGTGAAGATACGGCTGTAGTTGAAACCAAGTGAGTATGTGGTCCAAAAATCAGGAACATCTCGAAAATGCCATCGGTGGCTGCTTCCAAGTACCTGTTCGGGTGTCGGGAGGGTTTGTTGAATGGGTTGTCCCATTGTGACAGGCCCAAAACTCATAAGAAATGAAAAATGCCATTGGCGAGCAAATGTGAAGGTAGAATCACCTCAGAATTGACTACCTCAGTCACCTTTCAAATATCAGTCCGAGAATTGTATCACAAGCAAGCCAAGAGCTCTTTCTCCTGTTGTCATGCGGCTTTCCCTTTCTTCCAGGAGTTCCTGCCTTCCTGGTGTTGCAATGGGAGGCTGGGCGCCAAGACGTCTTCTACCGTGTGGCTAAAGATCCGGAAATGCCATGCCTAACCAAATTCAGAAGTGTAAGTGTTTGTTTGCACAGCCCCAATTTGAGCTGATGGACGGCACTTTCTCGGTTGACATACACTAGATGCCTCGCGACTAACTTTCTGAAGTGGGAGTCGGTTCATTAGGAAAGGGGTGTAAATAAACCAGAGGTGAATTGCCATGTTTTCTCACCTCGATTTTTCCCCCAGACCCCCCAGGACGTATGCACTAACAATTACCACTGCAAGCCATCGTGCAGTTAGCGACTCGACACGATTCGAGGCAAACAAGCTCCGTCATGCATCCATTCATCGACACATCGTAGGTAGGTAACATGTAGCAAAAAAATGAAGAAGAAAGCCATAGATAATAGTTTAAGATGGATCAGATGAAGAGAATTGCATGATGATGAAGGGTATCGCATAGCGTTGTGCTGGGGATGGAACAAAGTCAGGACAAGCTGAGTGGGCCTCGGAAAGCCACTAAGCCACACCTTTCACAACAGCCACACCAATCGCGCGCTGACATTCCAGCATATCTTCTCTGATCCTTTTCAGCCTGCCTTAAGCGCAAGACTCTGCTAGAGCCTGTTAGTAATTTAATTCTTGCGTGGACTTGTGCACCGCCACATCTAAGCAAACGGGATCACACACGTCACTAGTTGCATCAGGCCGTTGGGCGCCTAACGAAATGAAATGGATTCTTGCATGCAGCAGCTTCCATCAGATTTCCTTCCACTTGTCCTTTTCTCCAACTCTTGTGCCAGAAAAGGGCAGCAAATGCTCACGTCTTGACCATCTTCTATTGACTCCAACACGATGGCTCGACCAAGGAGGCTTGACGAAGGCTTGCATAATCGAGAGTCAATCACCGTCGGGCTGCTCCCAGCAATCACCGCCAAAATCCCGACATCGACAGAACTGAGCCGTACGCGACCGCCCAAGTGGGAAGCCTTGGGACCAACAACAGCTGCGATCATGACGGCAAGCGATAATCGAGGAACATTATGACGACAAGTACGTAATAATCGAGGATGTGAACCTCTCGATGCTATCGACGTCCTCGACACCCGCTTCGAATTCCCTTTGTCGCTTCCTACACGATCTCGACTATGCGAATAGACGAGAAATAAGATGAACCAAGAGAAGAGATGGAACAGAAAGGGAGTGTTGAAGCTGTGGAAATGGGGACGCGCATAGGGAGAAAGAGAAGGATAGAGACAATGACAACAGATAACTCCATATCTCGATGACCCGAACTCTCCCTTTTCTGCCGGCGTAACATGGTGTCAATCAACATATCGATTCGCAACACTCAACCATCGCAAGAACAAATGCATGTGCCTCTCCTGCCATCAACGGCCGGCTGCCGAAACGACCTCTTCCTGCTTAGGGCTATGGATTGTACGACGAAGAAATGAGAGGCGACGGTCGTGCCAGTGTCGGACCGAGTCATGGCCCGAACCAGAAGTCTTCAGTTCGGGAAGGAGTATACCCCTGAGTCTGGCATGCAACAGCAACGTGCCGATATGGAGAGGGTCGGGGAGGCGCACGTCGCAGGCCAGCCAGGGGTTCTCCGGCGTGGACACAGCAAGCCTTGAGGTTCTGAAGAAGACGAAAATGACATTACGTAGTACGGCTGATAAACAGTGGAAGGAGGTAGGCGTCTCGGCTAGATTCAAGTGCCTACCTAGGTACTCAGGGACATGTACTCTCACGATGTGATTAGCGCCAGTTGGCCAGTCCGTAGCAAGGCGCCGGCCCTGCCTGCGCCGGCAGACTTTTTGTTCCATGTGACGGCGTGACTTACGTTGCTCGTCGGAACGTGTTGCAATCTCTGTCAGCATGGCTCGCCTCCGCCATAGATCATGGACCGACATTAACGACGATCTGGTCGCGTTGGTGCGACGTTTGTTTTCTCGACGACAGATGTCAAACTTTGGATCGACAGGGAAATGACGGTGTGTGCGTTCAGCCTCGTTGCATTTTTGGGGGCGTTGCATTTAACTTGATCCCACATGAATGCGTGGATAATCAGTTGGTTTGGGGTTACCTACACTCCAGTCGACCTACACGAGGTTCCAGAAGATGACGGTCGAGTCCTAGTACGCACTTCTACTGCTTATACGGGTCAATTTGCGACCCAGCGATGACTGTGAATTGGCCGCATTGGGTAAATGGTTTTGGTAGGGTAGTAGAGGTAATGATCAGATCGGCTCCGGCTGTTTCCAAATGCTTTCTATCTAGTATACGCATGATACATCGAGGCTCACTTGCACCAACTCATCAGTCTGAAATCTTTGGCCAACATCAGTGAGGCTGGAGATGACCTGGCTCAGTTGGAGATGGCCTCACTCTAAGTGTCCATTCACATATAAAAATAGTCTCGGACACCGGTGTGATGTCGGTCCGAAACAAGCGCAAGGAGAAAACAGTCAGGTAATTCACAGGGCTCTGGTCTCCAGCGGCATGGAATGCATTGACTCCTTCTCACATGACGTGTCAACGTTGTAGTGCTCAGGGCAGGACTCGATACCGGGCTATGTCTGCTCAAGACTCCACAACAAGCAGCCTGCCTGGGCTAACCCCTGAACTCCCCGCAACTTGCCAGGAACCAATCCCCCCCCCTGATGTCTGGGTGTCCATGTTCCTGTTGGGTCCCCTTCCATTTTTCGGTGTCGGGTACCGAGGAGGTACAAGGGAGTGCCATATGCGGAGATAAGGATCGGGCTTTGTGACTGGACGGGCGGGGCGTGCAATGGCGGGACGCAGTCAGTGGACCTGATCTGCCGCGTCATCCAGAGTTTTCGGTGCGAGCCGTGCAGAACCGTTGGCTGGTACCTGTCTAGTGTAGTGTACCTATATGATCATCCCCTTATTAAGTAACGGTCCATGTAAATACATAGTCTGTACTGCAGTGTACTACCTATGCCAAAGTTTGAAGAACTTGCAGTACTTAGTGACTTTCTGATGCAGCTAAGCAGCGCTACCTGGGTAGGTAGCCAGCGCCTCCTCAAGGTATTGTAAATTAGGTACCTCTACCTTGTCGATCCCCCCCCTGGCTTCTCCACACCCACCCACACAATTCCCTGCTGTGACAAGAAGGCTGCAAAAGCTGATGACCTGAGGTATATGCATGGGCCCAGATGTATGTAGAAAGTAGATAGGATGAAGCCAAAGATTTGCTAAACTTGGACTTGGCATTAGAATAAACTCCTTGCAGTGGTAAAGGGACACTGTGTAGTACCCGTAGTACTACCTCTCCCCCACCTCGTGCCCCTGCCACGTAGGTGGGCATTCGATAATCTCCGACAGCTCAGCTCGCATCCCGCTACATACCTCCGTTGTCACGGGGTAGTAGTTGACATGCCCATATAATGTACACTTCGTATACTGCCTTGCAAGTAGAATTACGTCTATCTTTTATCGGATCGTTTGGGGACCTGGCCATAGTGCACGCCTAGCCTGTCATATCCATCTTCCATTTCACAGGTGGATGAAAGGCTACCTACCTTAGGTACCTTAGGTATATTTCGCTGGAATTCCTCCACTTCTTATTCTTGATCAAAAAATAACACTATCCCGAAAATCATCACCTCTTTGTTGAACTGCGCGAGGGGAATGATACCTATGCTCTATGATGTCAAGCAGTCATGAACGTGACCATAAGTGGTGCAGAGCTAGGTACCTTAGGTACTACTGCAACCTAAGGACTCCACTGTTCGGATTCGGATTGTAGATACTTGGGCATTGTGACACGACTGAGAAAGCTTGATTAACAAGGCGGAACCATATCAGACTGGATAGCACACAACTTTGATATTCGGGGTGTATGTGGGAGAGGGCGTAGTGTGCTGCTTCAGTAGTTCGATGCTATTTTCAAGAAGTTTCTACTAGTGTGTTAGTTGTACACCCGGACGTGTATTTTATTGTGGACCCAAAATGTCAAGCATCTGTCCTTGCCTAATTACAGTAAAGGAAAAGTGGGATATTCAACGGAATTAACCAATCATTGGTGTTAGGTGCCTGATTGTTGTGCAGCAACGGTGGGTGACTGTACAGTCACAGTCGGTGTGTTCTAGAAGGACTGGTTGCTGCTCGCGGTTCGCAGGCTTCCCTTGTCATTGCGACCCTTGCTCATGCCCCTGTTGCCGCCTCAGACAGACTTCTCTCGAGGTGACACTGATGATCGCGGTTCGTCTTCGGCGAGGCCCGGCCTTCGTTGCGGATGGAGCGGCTGCCGTCAACACTGATGTTGGAAGCGAAATCTGCCTTGCGGTTTACCCCATGGACTAGCTGGGTGCTTTACAGGGTTGTATCGATCCGAAACACAGGAGGTCTGCAAACACATTGGAATCTGGAGAGAAGAGGAGCAAATGGACACAATCGCAAAGGCCATTGAAGCGTTTCTCGGCTATAGAGAAAAGAAAAACAAAAGACATACCCAACCCATCTGGTATCTTTCCGGGCCTTCAAGGTTCATCGTTGCCGTTGTCTGTTGCGAACCAACTCTGGTGTTGAGGCCGCCGCTAATTACCCATGTGTTGATCGTCATTTTACCACCTTCCTTATCTAGCTAGATGCATCGTTTCGGATCTCAGCTCTGGGGCTGGCCAGACTCACACCCCTTCCAAAGAGAGCGGGTCTTCACCATACAGAGTCGATCGGGAACGGAGCCGGGTGATCGCTGCAGCGCGCGGTCTACACCCCAAGGTCTTGCTCCTTTGCTTCGTTCAGTTCCGGAGCTCCAGAATGTCAAAGGTCGGTTGTCCGATCGGGGTGGCGGGGTGTGCACAACTTTCCATCCCCCGATGTCGAAAATGATAGTTTTTGAGTTTAGGTAGGTAGGAACGGGATTGAGGCTTGGCAGTAAGCGCCTATCGTAGATTGCCCCTGTATCAACGTAAAAACAGTGGCTGTTCGTTAGTGCAACATCTAAGCGACCCCGCGCTGATAGGTACGGTAATGACAATTGTGGGATGCATTTAATGTTCCGTGATATCGATAGAGCAGATGGGGAAAGTTTTAACCAAGCGTCCAAGTACAGTTTCCAATTATCGTAACAATATGTGCATAATAGATAACATCGTCTCATCGCTGAACAAAAGAAACATGGCTACAGGTAGCTGAAACAGATGCAGATAGGAAAGAAAGACAAACAGTAGAGGGGATAAGCGAAGACAACGTAAGAGCCTAACGTAGGTAGAAAAAGAGATTATAGAAGGAAAATGGAACACAGCCAGCTGTATAGTGATTAGAAAAATAAAACATCCGACTTCTCACGATGTTCATATAGCATCCAGGCATTGCAGAACTCTTCGATCCTCACGCTGTCGACCTGATGGGATGCGCAGTATTCATATGCCTCCACAAGTTGTCCTTGCGAGTGAAAGTCTTCCCGCCTTCACGAGAGTATTCGCAACCCTGCGCCAGGCAGTGGAATCCCAGGACGGCGGCATCACTCCCGCTCCCGCTGCCGTCGCTGGTCTTCTTCTGATGCTTCTTGGTTGTGAGATGACGCTCATGGTCCCGTTTTGTCTGGGAAGAGGTACCACAGTCGGTACAGTGATAGCGAGCAGTCCCACGGGTGTTGGGGCTGCGACCTTCATTGTCTGGTGGAGATGGGGTAAGGGATGCGCGGGTTGAGGAAGGCATGCTGTCGGGGTCAATAGAAGACGGTTCTAGGTCCTGGATGGTGTAAGGCCCTAGGGACATAGAGTTGACGGTATGAAGAGGGGCCGGAAGCGAAGGCTGAGACGGTATATCGTGATGGGCGGCAGTGTTAAGGACGGGGATGATGTTTCCATCCACACCCTCAAAAGATTGCATAACTCCCTCGTCCTGAAGGCCCTGGAAGTGACCGGTAGTGGGAGAGAAGTGCTGAGACCAGTTATAACCAGATAAGTCTTCCACTACGAACGGTGGAGGCCCCGGATACGTGTAAAAATTGGCGATAGGGTACTACGTTGGATGTGTTAGCGGCGGTCAATCAAGTAGTAGGTTGTTAATGAACGTACAGAGCTAGTGATATCGAGCTCTTGGTTGGTAGATTCGTGTGACTGTCCAAGGACGTTGGATAATGCTTCATTATTATGATATCCGTCGTCGGCAAAGCCCAAAAGAGGGTTGTAGACATTGGAGATGTCATTGTCTGTGACGGGTAAAGGATGATGCAAATCGAAGTGGTTGTAATCCATGGTGGCTTATCGAAACAGCTGAGTGTAGGTAGAAATGAAGTAAAATTGGGTATCGGATCCGTTCTTTGGCGCGGATATATAGTACAGTGCTGCTAAGTTTTTGGTGAGCTTCTTAATAGTGTTTGAACGACGTGCAAGCAGGACTTGGAAGCTTCCATGTCCTTTATAGAAGGCCATCTTTTGTCTGCCCGACTAGGGGGAGAAAAAGAGAGGCCATAATCTAATAAGGGGTGTAGTAGACATTCTTCCTAACGCATCGATGGATGTCGTTCTATCGTCGGATAATCATAGATAGCAGTAAGGAACGGTCCGTCTGGACTTGCGACTAATGAAATTGAATTGGGAGCAACGGTGGAGGTGGTGCGGGTGAGGATGGGTCCCGGGCAGGCATTGCACAGTCCCCACTGTGTGCCTCGCCCAGACCGTACCACGGGCACGGTGGGGTCCAATTAGGGCATTTCCACAGACCCGCCTACTGTGGTCGGGAGCGAAAGTAAAAACCCCTCTGCCCGTCAGGTACTCTTTTGCGCGGACACTATGCGTTTGGTACCTATCCCACCCAATTTAACTTACCCATGACACGAAGTAGCCTCCGACCTCAACCCCCGGGTTGGAATTTCCCCAATCGTCTTTGACACTACAGCGGTAGGGGCAGTGAAAAACGCTCCCGCCCAACACTGGGCACCGTACCTGAACTGATCGGCACTTGGACTCCAACCGAACGCCGCGGCAGGGGCATCGATCTGATTGCGCCCGCCCGTGGAATCAATACCTACACTAGGTAGGTAAGTACCTATGCAACTTCAACTTCCTTCGGTCTTCTTTCGGACGGAGTTTGCACAAAACACTCGCCCCGCGCTCCAACATCATAGTAATACTTATCTCTGCACTACACTGCAACTCAAAGCCGTATCTACCTATACGCACTACATTACACCGCAGTCATTCCGTCGGTTTGCTATTTACTACTCTGCAGTATCCGTAGGGTACGTTTCCATGTAGTGGAGGTAAAGGCTTCTGAATTGACAGCTCAGCGAGAACTTCCCCAGAGCCCCTATATAACAAGCTCAACGGCAAGTGCGATTACTTAACGTCGTGCCCGGACGGAGTTTTTATCATCGTTGTTGGTTGCCACGTCCAGGTCTGCCTGCCCCGGTTGTCATTTGCCGGTCGTTTCGCATCAATGGTCCAGCTTAGCACACATGACCCCGGTCCCCATTCTTGCTCATCGTACCTACCTAGTAATACGTGAGAAAAAGCGCCAATGCTAGTGATCCGCCAGGTGCAGGAACGATGCACTCGGCGCAAATCTAGGTAGTTTACCCCCCCCTGGGCTGGGCCGCCCTAAGCCCCCCCTCCCCCCCCCCCCAAAAAGAAAAAAGCCTTGGATCGACTAGACCCCTCAGATTTTCCAAGATTGAAAAGACTTGGAACGAGCAATGACAGTTCCTCGATATGCATTAGGTAGAAACAAACAAAGTTATTCCGAGGATACACGGCCGCCGCGGGATCTATCTGGGATGGCGTGTGCGCTACGAACCATACCAGGTACCATAGGTAGGTTTCTTGTCTCTCGAGTGAGCCAGTCACCGAAGTCCCAATCCAACCTAAATAAGGACAACCACACCAGACGATACCTACCTAGGTAGAGCCGATCAGCCCGTGCCTGGCTAGGTAAAGCAACCTACCTAAGTGAAACGCAGGCACAGCCTGCCCCTGTTGGAGGTGGGTTTCCCGTATCACGTGCGGCCAGCCATTGCACCCTTCACTGGACCACCTGGAAACGGAGAACAGCGTTCAAAACAGGGGGCCGCTTCCATTGAACGGACCCGGGCCTGGCAGGGGAGCCCACTGCAGTGGACACGCCTCTTCCCGTTATCCCCTAAATCCCTGCTACCTCCTGTTGATTCCTTCCACTAGTCAGTTACAGTTCACAGGGTCGGAGGTGGTCACGCAATGCCCTGTACCTGGACCTGGCTGGGCGCTCTTTTGCCGCAATGAGATTTCCGGGCAGCGCATGGCCTCGCTCAACTTCCGTTTCACTGCACTTCAAGTTCAGTTGCGTCTGCTGGCCGGTCTTGGCACCCGGGCCCATTCACTGAGTGTGCTTCCATTCCGTCACTGGCACTCCCGTCCGGGCCAGGCTGCCCTGCTTTTTCCCTTTACCCTCGTTCCACCGTGACAAGAATCAACACCTTTTCGTCGTCTTAGTCCCCGCCAACAACTTCAGCAGACCGAAAAGTCTTTTTGTCCGGACCCCTGCCTCTGTGCGTGCATGTAGCTTTTGTCAATTGGTTTTTCCCCATCTATTTTTTTTTTTTTCTTTCTAAACTTCGTGTTTTCACATCCTGATACCCATGCCGGGACCAAAATTTGTCGTTACAACAAGCGAAGAAAACAAGGCTGGATTTCTGGAAGACTGGAGTGAGACAGCAAGACCAAGGTAATTCCCAGCCAATGCACAAAGAGCCGCATCGCAGCGGAAACACCCAGCATTCGTTTACACCCGGTACGCAGCAAAGCGTCAAGCACAGTGTCGCATTGTTCTTTGATGCAGATATAATGTCTTATCATTGCCATCTCTATGTCCCCCGATCTAATTAAAAGAACGTAATACATAGCCTAACGTATTCTTCCAGTTGGCGTTAGTAACATGGGGGCAACGATGTCCAGCGGCGTCTGGTCCGCCCTTCCTCCGCTTTGTTTTCTTCCAATACTTTTCCCCCATGGAGGTGGACGCCGACCTTGTGGCTGTTCCTTACCACCTCCTCGAAACTGGCCTGTCCGAGCACGCTCCAGTGCATGGTGACATGCATGCATGCAGGGCACAGTTCCTATCCCAAACCTAATTGGAGGCCAAAGGCACTCCGCTGGAGACGCAGGCGCATCCACAAATGGCCCTCTTTGCGCCTCCATCAAAGGCAGCAGACCATGTATGATGCCGAAAGCATACAATGCATCTGCGCCTACCAAGAAAAGAAGTAAAACAAATGCTGGTTCGTATCCATCAAGAGCCGGAGGCCACACTGATGGGTAGTATGCCTTGTGGATCAGTCGTGATTGCTCAGCTCCCACTATGATCGAACTGGCGCGGTAATCAAGAAAAAAAAGAAGAAAGGAGGTAAGAATTTGTCGTCATCAAATCGATAATCGGCGTGACGTGCATCCGGGGCCCAAGTGGAACATGTACTGGATTGCCAAAGCGCGATCGGTTCCGATATCGAAGGTCGTGCCGTGATTGAGCGTCATGTGGGCATCAAAAATATACAAATGGGAAGACAGGCGACATATCCGTTTCCGAAATGGCCATGTCCTGCCCAAAAGTCGTGTGTGCGTGTCTGATCATGTCGCTCCTTGTCAAGTACGAACAGCGGTGATCTGCCTACACAGCAACAAGCCAACGAGCGGAGCGCTTCTACCGATCGGCCTCGTTGAAGTTGACGCGCTTCGAGCTCCTTCCCCACGAGTTCTGCTGGTACCGACTCTCAAAGTTTGGCTGCTCGGGCGATACGCTCTCCATGCTAGGCTGCTTCGAGGGTGTCGAGCTGCTGCCAAATCCGGGCACGGTAGACCACCTGTTGGAGACCTTCCTGGCGGGTGTTTCTTCTTTGGGAGAGCTGACGCCGACGTCGGGGGAGAAGGGCATTTCTCGGGTGGCGTTGGTCGCGCTCGACTTGGTCGAGGAACCAGTGGTGTTGGGCGTGTTGTAGACGTATTCGCCATCGACGTAGGTAGCGTTGGAGACAAAGGTGGAGCGACGATGACGGCGGCGGGTGTAGCGCTGCTCAAGACGGAACAGCTCGATCTTGGCTTGGATGCGGTCGAAGAGACTGAGACCCATTGTGATGGATTTCTGATGGTGTTGTGATTTGGAAGAGGGTTGGTTTTCGTGTCGCGGACGAGAGTAGCAATCAATTGATCAATTGCGCAAGTGAAAGCGTCGGCGTTGTCGTCGCGTGCAAAGAGTGAAGTGGTTTTCGGGGTCGGAAGAAATGGTAAAAGATTGGTGACGTCGCGGATACTGAGTTCCGAGATGAAAGGGTGGGTATATTGCTGGGGCGCGGAATGACCGGAGACTCAGGCTTGTTTCAATGACAGACTGGTGGTGAGGGGATTTGGATAGAGAGAGTGTGTGGGATGGCCCTGGTAGTTGTAGAGAACGAGTGTAGGGTCGACTTATCGGGCCTGCTGGCTGACGTTACAGTCGATTAAAGAGAGCCGCGCGGTGGTTGGTGGAGGTTGGGGAGAAGCAGGTGAACCATTCGAGAGGAGAGGGGAGAGCGGGAGAGGGGAAGAAGCAGTTGAAGAAGGAAAAGGATGGAAGAAACCTAATGGTTCGTTACGACGGCACCGGGGCCTCATGGTGCCACTGCACCCCCTGTCGTGGTTGCCCACAGCACACCCACAGCAGCAGTCCTCCACTCGCACACTGCTCTTCGGGACCGGGCATGGACCCTCTGCAGTTCTGGATCCCCGCCTTCCATGCTGAGAGTGGTAAAGGGGCTCCGCTTTTCTTTTTCGTTTGTCGCTGCCATTGGACAATGGATCCTGGCGCCAGGCACAAGAAGCATCCAGACCCACGATTAATTAAAAGGCGAGAAACGAGCATGGATCAGTTGCCCTCAGTTCCTGCTGACACAACAGGGCCATCCTGTCTCGGTTTTTCTTGCAAAACAAAACACAAAGCACGGATCCATTCATCATACACTAGGAGCGGACTCCCGGGTTTGAGATGCCGTTTTGGGTTTATGCTCGATTAGTTCTTGGTATGAGCCTGGGCCACGTACTTTATCGCCGCATTCACACACTATGTAGGTATGGTTTCGAGAGGACAAAAGTGAACAAGGTCATTGTCGCTTCCATGATTTCGATGTGGTGCGCGTCTTCTTCGGATATCGGCTAAAAAAAATTCTGCAACGCTGAACCGTCCAAGCCACAAGCGAGGAGCTAATGATGTGGACGATCAAGAGCGCCAGAAGAGTGGGATGCGCGCGGCGGCGGCCTCGAAGCAGCAGTTCAGTTGTCCAGCCTACCTACCTATGTATCTCAACCTGTGCCGCTACCTGTGAGTGAATTATGAGCAATTAGTGTAGGTACTAGTATCTAGACATAACCTTCGGTTGCACAACGACGGGAGTACTAAGTAACGGACCGAAGCGGTGAAATTGCCCGCCGACTCAAACCGGATTGTCTTGCCATCAATCGACGCTTTTCTTCCAGAAAATGTCATGCGATTGAAGAATGCAAGACAAGACCGTTACTTGTCAGAAGAAAAAAAACAAGCGATGGCGAGACATGGGGAAATGACCGCCCCCTGATGAAACGACAGCGACGAGCACGGCATCCCAGGGTGGCGCTGGGTTATGATGTGCACAAAGGGAATCACGATCACCCGAAAACACAAGTGAGCACGGGCCTTTTTCTGATTGTGCTCATCAGCAACCAAAACCTCCAGACTTCTTCCCCGCCCCCCTGATTTTCATTGACCTTCCATCCCGGGCGGCTCCCCACGTGTCTGTACCTGCGTCACTGGAGACTGAAGTCTTTTCTTCATTCCAATTCAACGAACCGTACACTCGGACCACTCGTCATCGACCACAAATCACAAACTATCCGCACCGAGCCTTGGGTGACCTTTCACAAACTCTCAATCCCGTGTCGCGCACACCCGTCCGTCTTGAGGTTATTCGCACGACCGTCGCCCATCGAGGAGTGGAAGCGGTATGGCCCGGCCGATTGACGACCGGTCGATCGCGCTGCCGACGGGGAAATTACGTTGTCGACATTTTTCTGCACAGCCCAGCGGGTTTCGGTTTTAGGGGTTTCTTGAAGAACTCCTGTCATTACCAGCCAAATGGCAAGGCGAGAAAAAAGAAGAAAGATTGACCCCCGGCCGGCATTCATCATCGGTTCTAAAATTACGGCACAGACCTTAACTCCATACCTTACTCAGCTTTGCGAGCTTCTACACTACAATTTTGATGCTGGTAGCTGACAAAGGAATTGTTAGTGCAACCGCGAGTTCCACAATGGTCTTGGCGTTGACAGCAAAGACTCCTCTCCAAACTCACTTCGAACACGCCTCAATTGGATTCGGCTCAGTTACTTAAACACTTGAAGAAGGGCCAAATCGACCAAATTTCAGAATTTCAAGTCCCTGATATCACGGCGCCATGTTTCGGCATCAACACAAAAGTTTCGTGAGACATTAAAGTATCCATCATTCTTGTTAGCGCAAGACTCACTTGGCTGGCTTCTACACCTCTACAAAAGACCACTAATCAACACGATAAGCGTCAGAAAGCTCTGGTCGGTTTGAATAGGATCAAAAATCATTATATTCGCCCCATTGCATATGCTCCTCTTTACCCTCTACATATAAATCAATCATGCTGTCACTATCCCTCCTATAAGTACATCGCTAACAGGAAAGCAGATCTGTCCATCGCCACTTATTGAACCATTACAACGCTTCATCACTCATCTTCATCCGAGATCCCATGCATCTTAGCAATGTGCCTCCACAGGTTATCCTTGCGGGGGAATGTCTTGTTGCACGGTGCAACTGGGCAGCGGAATTCAGTGCCACGGTTCGGTGACGACTCCAACTCAATCTCTCCTGGACCGTTTCTGATGGCGTTTTTGAGATGCTTCTTGGTAGCCAAGTGGCGCTTAAAGTCTCGCGGCGTCTTGGCGGAGATGGAACCGCAGTGATCGCAAGTGAAGGGCTTGGGATTGGGAGTGAGGGATGCGGCTGGCTCGGCAGAGGCTAAACCCAAGGCTTTGTTACGTTCTGGGTAGTTGAGGTGGTCGGGAATGACCCCGGGAGCTTGGTCGAGCGAATGTCCAGCGACGCCCATGTTGTTTTCAGTGGAAGGTCCAGCGAGGGCCAATTGGCAAGCGTTGTTGAGAGCGCCATCAGCATGGCCTGGGTACTGGGTGACAAGCAAGAGGGTTAGCATGGGCATCCACGTCATGAGTCGCCAGTATACGTCAGATCAGCCTTGGGATAGATCTGAATATAGAGGAGAGATATGAGAAGGTACCTGGACAGGCAAGGAGAAACTGAGTACCTCTGGGCAAAGACAGACGAGCGGGTCGGGGGCTTGTTCCTGGTCAAGGCCGTTCCATAGGGCTTGATCAGCCTCATTGTCGATGAAGGTCATGTCATTCGCATTGACAGGGAAATGAAGAGGGAAAAATCCTTGAAGATGCTCGGAGAAGTCCATTGCGTTGGTGGTCGCTTAATGGTCAAGGAATGTCTGAGTGTGAGGAGGGGCTTGGAACTGAAGAGTGAGAACAAAGTGGAGGAACCATGATGCGCTTCACCTCCATTTAAACTTCTTTAAGAGCTGTTCGTTCATTCTTGAGGAGGCCAAACCATTCAAACAATCTTGTTTTGCTCTGAGGCCTTGTGGATGAAGTTAGAACTGTTCGTGAGGAGTGAATGAAAAGAACTGTCCCTTGAACGAAACCCACCAACCCTGGACAAGTCATCTATATCGGCGGGCGTCCAGTAGTCCGAGTCGTCAACCACTGCAGTCGCAATGCAGATCTGCCAGGTGTTGGTAGGTACTACCGGGCAGGTACCTCTATCGTGCACAGCCCCACTGTCCGAGCTCTTCCACGTGCTGGGTCAGACCATACCGTTTCTAGCCTTCCAGACTCGCTAGTCTTCCTCCTCTTTCTTCTCATTAGCACACACTCAATCAATCGGATTCAACCGCTTGATCTCGTTGATGTGATCTCACAAGATCACCCACACACGCTCATGACAAAAAAAGTGATAGTATTTTTGGATGGGCACTACTACTAGAAACTGTCACTTTTCTTGTCATTAGCGTGCCACACTGCAACGGGCCTGATGGTTGACGGTCAACATGCCTAAAGGAAAGCAATTGGTTGTCGGAAGATGCCAAGACCCATTGCTGATGCTTGGTTCCCGTCTACCTCTACAGTCCCGTCCCGATCGACACGGCAACCCTCCCATCCCACACACGTACACCACCGTGGTCCTACCAGTCATCCCGTACTCGTCAGGTCTACAAAATCGACCGTCTGACTAGCGGGCGGGCTACGAGTCAGGGACATTGATTCGTACCGCGGGAATGACTTTCACTAGAGGTAGCTAGCAAAAGCCCTTAGCGCCAAGGTCCTCCACACTAAGCCGATTAGCTGGTCTTCCTGCATGTGTACTGCGTATATGGTTGCACGATGAGCTGCATTTTACATGAGTGCCCAATGCATGCCGCATGCAATGCGTTACGCACCGCTTCTCACGGTCCAGAGCGCACCTTCCACACACCATAGACCGGTTCACTTCTGTGGCATACTCGGGCGGGGATATTTAGGGTAATATGATGCTAGTGCTGGAAGTTTGCACAAGTTTCCCGAGTTATGCCAGGTGATTGGCCGCTGTTATGGCGCAGACGGACCTGGGAGGTTGAAGATATGTTACACGCAGTGAGCCTTCAGTTGCGGTTGTACTGTAAGGGACCTTATTTGCACGTCCACGTATCTACCTAGGGTATTACTTTGACCCTACATCAGCTCCGAGTCCCTTGTGGTTGTTCCCTTTCCAGCCCGCCCGCTGCCCTGACCCGCCGAAGTTGCCTGGCTGTCTGTCTTGCTGGAGGCTTAGCGCCAGTAGCGCAGTGGATACCTAGGTACTTATAGTGTGGTCAGCCAATGTTACCTCTAGGTTGGCTCCGAACGTCGACCCACTCTTCTTGGGCAATCCTCGCCCGGTCCCGGTTGGCTCCAGCTGTCTGTCCCTGCTTTGCCAGCCCCTCACGGGAGAACTAAGCCGACCTTGTCGCTTTCGATGTTTTCTTAATGCTATTTCACATTTTCGCTCTGAATATCATATCACTCTTTGTTCATCGAACTATCGAATTAGCTGCACTTGGATGTCAGGTTTTGGTGCAGTTCGTCATCTGTGTTGTTTGCCGGCTGGCTTCACGGTCGCGCCTCACTTGAAATGCCTGGCACCACCGCATTTTGAAATGCCCTCTCGGAGTCTAAGGGCAAATAGCGCACTAACAGCTACTCACTGAGGTTTGTAGAATATAGCCTAGTTGCAAGATAGATCCCTATCCGCTCAATGAATCGGGTAGTTGGGGACTGACGTTTTAGCAGATGGAGAGCTCCCATTGGTGAGATAAGAGCCATCAAATCAGACTGACCAATCAGTGTCTTGAAGCTTGGCAGGATTGTTGCAGCAGTTTAAGGAAGTTGTCAATCCCGTGCCTCCACATTCGGGCCGGCATTGTGTAAGGTACCTATATGTAGCGGCCGGCATCGCATATGATGCTGTTAGTTGGCCGGTCGTGTCGGCTGTTATGGGGACGAAGTTGCTGGCTCATCATGGTGCTGGTGCTAATGTCGATGCAACTGACTTTTATCTTCTGGTGATCTTCCAAGAGCAAAGATGCGCGTGACCCTACTATTTCTGTGTGAGGCTGGATCGATGGTGCTGGGTGGAGTCTGGAGATTCGCGAGTGGCTCTCTGAACGTTGAGAACTAAACGATGGATGGTCGAGATATCGAGGGGTAGGTATGTTTCTGAACTGACATATGTAGATGGTTGCGCTTGCTTAGCATCAAGTGACCATGGGATGGTGTTTACCTATCTTCGAGTTCAGGAGGCTCTTCATTCTTTGAACTTCGGTAACGACAGTCAGGAGGTAAAGAGGGGGAAAAGTGAGCAGATTGTCACACTTCCAAGTCAGAGAGGTTGGCAGATATCATAGTTTTCAAAATGACAGTTGGAAGTCAGACGCCCAGGACAGCCCAAGGTAGGTCAAAAGGGGATTATACGCAAGATCTCGGAGAGCCTTGGAGGCCTGGGATTATTTTCTGTTAGAATAATATGGAAAGATGCCTTGCTCTATTTTTTGCGTCTCTCCTGCATGACTCGGTTTGCGACGTGTCCGCAACCCCAGTGTGGGTAACGTACCCAGCGCCATCAATCCATTCTGTAAGATCCGGACTGTAGGCGGAATGGAGAACGAGGAAAGTCAACAAAGGATGGATTGACGATATGGCAGTCCATGTTGCGGAAGAAGAAAAGTGATAAAGACGATCCAAGGCAACAAAGATCTTTCTTTGTTGTTGCATTGACAAATCAGCGCTGTTGAGCTATCATTGTTGCGGTGCAGTTCAGCTGAAGAGGGTTCTGCGTTGTAGATTGTTGTTGTTGTTTCCCTTGTTGTCGTCAGTCGTTGCCCAGGCGTTGGAGCTAACCGACGTTAGTGCCTGGATGCCCCGACTGTCCGGGCGGGGTCGGGTGGGACCTGACTAGGTACCCGGTGCGGCAACTACCGGATCTCTAGTGTATGACACGGTAACGGTAGGTCAGGGACTTGGAGGTATTTTTCAGCTTCAGCCAATTGGATAGGTTGTGTTCTGCATTTCGTCAACTATTCGATGTTTGCTTTATCTATCACTCGACAGTGTACAAAATAGAATGCCTTTCAGCAGGTCCAGCAAGGCTCTTTAGTATAAGCACCTGTTGTCCCGCTCATGGAATATATAACTAAGTATAAACCGCCTGCTAGCGAAGAATTAGCCGCTATGCCTAAACGGTCTAGCCGATGTGCCTGGGTAGCAAGCAATGCCGCCTCAAGCTGTCTTTCCATCCATATGTGACAGTGTTGATGGGAATCGCTTCAAGTGAGCTCATGGTTGTGCTGGCCACCATTTGATGGCCAAGACGTCAACCGACCAAAGTCGTTGAACGTGGAGGCCGCTGCAGAGCCTCAGGCACCCAGTAGCCGCCCGCAATGGCCGATAGGTGCGCTAACCACAAAAAAGAAAGAGAAAAATGGATATGCTCATGTTTTAGTAGGTCGAGGTAGTGTGTAGTGTATAAAAAGGGAATTGCGGCGAAAATCTCTTGCGCATTTCGGCCGTTGACGTGGCCAGAGGAAGTGGCGCATTCGGTACTCGGAATGGATGCGACGAACTAAACGGTGTGTTTGGGACCAATGGCTCAGCCTCCTTCGGGCTGAATGCTACCCCGGTAGTTTTCAGACTGGTACGTACCTTAGCTTACTTACGTACTTATGCACAGCATACAGTAACGGTAGGCCAGAGACATACATAAGGTACCTACCTATCTTCCCCAGCACATCGCATCGCATCGTCAATTCTGTCATACCTTATGGATACCGATATGTTGTCCTATGGACATCAAGGGTCATGGGAGCGGTGTAGGGTTGCAGAATCAGACATTATGTCCATCTATCGCTTCACTTTATGAGTATCATTGCGCAAGCATCTTCACGGGTATTTACGTATTGGCTGTACACAGTGAAAGTATCAGCACTGGTTGGGCATGTAGAGGTAACTTGTACTGGAGATCAACCCTTCACGTAGTTACCCAACGAGCCTTCAACGTGTGGCCCTACAACTTGGCAACTCCAACAATCGTCAATCCGGCCATCTCATTGCAAGGGATGCCATGCTTTATACATCTTCAGAATGGCCGTTTAGAAAGATGTCATCAATTGCGCTGCATAATCTGGATGCACAAATCGCCATGACATTCCTACCTACCCAAGCAAGCGAGACTGGACATCGATATGTGGACGTTGAAGAGCTTGAGCCCTTGTTCGTCCGACCATGGACCGAGTTCCAAGCGGTGCGATAGGTTTGGTCTTGATCTGATTTCACAAATGGCATCACCTTATCTGAAACACTGCGCCTGGCCCAAGACGTGTAGAAAAGGTACGGGAGGAGAAGAGGCACAGACGTTGAGGATTCGGGAAGCTCTTTTGTGAAACAGAACACAGGCCGGACAGGCTTGAAACAGTGAGTGCAGTGGCTAAGCTAAGGTAGCTTGAATTGAGGCTGAATGAAAGACTTCTTCTTAAGTCGACGACATCGATGTAATACTGGAGCGTAGTACTAGAGATAGCCGCATCAATCATTGGTCAAAGTCCGACACCATTCACTGGTCTGTTAGGCGTGGCGCTTGCAAGGCATCAACTCCAGCACACGTGTACACTAAATTGGACTTTGGCACTAAAAGGGTCCACAACCAACATCGAAGCTTGGCTCCCGTCATGCCCTCAACCCCGCGACCAAATCTCACCCACAGTTCAGTGCAGGTGGGTGACTTCTGCAGGGAGCCCCATCCTGTTAGCCGCAACCCTTCTTTTTACGCCCAGCTTAGGCTTTCAGAATTGTACCTGCTAACAGTTCCTTTTTTTGGCGCACATTTTCTACCTCAGGTTGTCTGCTTGCACGGTTCTTCCCCTGAACTCCAACTCCGGGAAACTTTCCTTTTACATCAACAACAACACACGGGCGGGAATCGCGGGCAAGGGAATTGCGCCTCGCGTTTCCATCTTCCTCCTCATATCCATCTGCCAAATCATCCTTTTACGCCTTCCTCTTCCCAGCCTTACAATCAGTGATAATCACCATACTGGAGAATGACTCTACAACCCAGATTTCCACCCTCCGGTTCAATGTCGGCAACAGCGCTCCGACTACCTGTCCACCTCGAAGGGTACCGTCCTTGAACAGAAATCCCAGCCGACATCGCCGGACTTAGCCCCGTCGCCAGCAAGCCAGATCATCGTCTCCACGTCTATTCGTTGTCTGTAGGATCGGATGCCCATTGCGATTCGTGGCCCGAGGCTTTCAATCTTTAACATGACGACCAAGTCTATCGATACCCAAGATGGCGTCGCAACTTACCCCCAGGTTTGTGCCCAGCCCGATGTGAACCATGGATTGGATTCAACTGTATAAGACACGGACAAGGCCACATCCTCCACCACTGCCCGAGTCTCAACTTAATAACAGATGCTGACCCAGACTCCCGATAGCTTGCCTATTGCTCGACACTTCTTCCAAAGCACACAACCTGTCGCCAGGCGACTCCAACACGCGCCTATAACGCCAAGTTTTTCTCTAGGAAGCGCCGATGAAGTCCAACTGGTCACCGTTTTCCACCCCTTCCTTCAACTACGATGACTCCGGGTCCATGTCCAACACCCATCCGGACTTCTCTGGTGTCCACGGGACTGACGATGACGATGGCAATGGGATGGATCTAGAAATAGACCCTAACACTCAACATGGGTTAGGATATGGACACCAAACGCTGTATTCTACCAGCCATGTACGTCCAACAACCATCAATCAGGGACCCCGCCTGGCCCTTCGGCTCCCGTCTACCTCATTCCGCGAAGGTTACGCATTCGTAACGACTAACATCATAAACCACCAGCGCGCCAATCCACCGCTCGACATGTCCCACATGGAAGTATACCCAGTAAACTTTGTAACCTCGGAACAATCAATACCTGTAGGATCCGACGATGAGTGGTTCCCGAATAACTCGCTTTCGGAAGTCAACTACATGGCGGGCTTAGGAAGTACTCAGGACACTGGCATGACGTATGGCGAATATCAAGGGACAGTGTTCAACACCATGAACTTGGAGAATAACAACAACGCCATACACTTCACAGCATTGCCGCACGGTTCCTTCATCAACAACAATACTCATGCCGTTCATGGAACGCATTCCCATATATTTATGGGTACCCCGGACTACGGTCATGTCGATGTCTATGCGCAACCCCCCGACCTTGGCCTCAATTTTAACCTCGCGCTCAACCCGGCTTCGGCAATACGGTCGAGCACGATGCCCAACACCACACCTTTGCTGACTCCACCCATCACCACCGCCGCCACCCCCATGACGATAGCCGTCAATGACCACAACTGTGGCCACGGCCACGACGCTGACTACAACTACAACACAAACGCCCCAAAGCTCCTAGAACAAAAAGCAAGCGCAAGCGCAAGCAGACGCAGAGAGAAAAAACAAGGACGGGTCTACAGGGTTTCCTACAATAACCATCCCTCCCACCGCTATACCTGTCACCCTTGCCGCTTCTCCACAGACGTTAAGCGAGACTTTGCTCGTCACAGAGAGACCAAGAAGCACAAGACAAAATCCCAACAGGAGGAAGAAGAGGAGGATATGCACAGACTCGAAGGCAACATTGCTATGGGAAGGCAAGGGAGATGAATGGAATACGGCGGATGCGATGAATAGTGGGGGGGTTAGTCTACACAGTTCAGTCAGCTCGCCTACCGCAGAGGTATCGTACGTTCAGGGGCCCGGAGTTTCGATCTAAGTGTTGCGGCACGCACCACTGCAGTTCAGGTACCGAGACTTTCAAGTATGAGGATAGTTTGTTCGTTACGCTAGTTTAGTCATTGCGCGGGGAGGCGTTATCTTTCAGTAAGGTCCTTTTCTTTCTTCTCCAGTTGTTTGTTTTGGCTTTTCTTGTTCTTTTCGCGACGTGGTTGGCCTTTGCAGCAGGTGGAAATAATGTCTAAAATCTTCAGTCAGCAGTTCATTTAGCCCATGATAGGGGGCTTGTTCCAGAAAACTAACTAGGATGGTTCGCTTTGTCTTTGACTTTTGTATTTACCTGGCGTCGATGCTTCTTCCAACTAATTGCGTCTCTTTTCACCTTGTTCGCAACCAACCCGGACGAGACATCGTTGTGCCGCCTCCGTCCCAGTCAATGACATTCGGGCCGCTAACGAAGTAACGCTACTTTTTGCGGGTTTCGGCGGGTTTGCATGTTAACGGTCTTGCTTTTGACCGATTAGGAAAGTCAAGAACCAATTGAGTTATTTCATTGGTTGATAGCATCCCTGTTGAGACAAGGACCAGCATGGGAGAAAAGAAAACTCGCAGTGCACGAACAATGCTGTCTCACCCACCAGGTACCGACATTACATAACAGGTACCTCGACGGACCGTTCCTTGGGCCAGGGACAGCGATCCCATGCAGCGATCACTCCGATTGAGTCCAGCAGGGATGCTTGGTGATACAGTAATTTATTCTGGTAATGGCAGCCAACGAAGGCGCTTTCTTCAATACAAGTATGTACATTTCGGGTAATATGTTTGTGCGGTAATGCGATTTATTCGATGAATGGCTGTATTTTACGATACGTTACGAGCGCGATAGGAAATGATGGTGAGAGCACAAAGTGGGATGATCTTCTAACCTTTGTTCATACAACAACGCCGCCGCTCAGTAGAAGTAGCTTTCTTTATTTGGATATTTTCTTTCCTATCCATTGATGTAATTACCTGGTGTGTAGCTTCTTAACTTGAGTGGATTGAAACGCTTTAACCCCAATCCAGTTGTATCTGCACTCTTAGGCAAGGCGGGAAACTGCGTGTTGGAACTTCCAATACATGTTGCCGTGGTACCTCCTCCCCGTCACTTGCAATGCCCTGATGTTCCACTCCAAAATTCCATGTCGCGACCTCTACTTGTGGTGGAGGGCATTTTACCGGAGCTTGGGTCGGTTCCGAGACGTTGCCCGGAATCTGTCAAAGTCACTGATTCGCACCTTCCGACCTTTCTTCCAAACTACATGTATCCCACTTTCCCTTCCTAAAAGGAAAAGTTCTCGGAAACAACAAGATGCCAGGTTGTTCTTGATGCTATTCGTCATTGATTTTACCTGTGGCTTCCAAGCTAGGCATTGCGACTACCTTTCTGTGTGGCTGTTGGCATCGTTCAAGAAAAGTGCGGCAAAAAGGACATGGCCCTGGAGACACCATGTTTGGGGATTTCAGCCCGAAAAACGGATCCCGGAATTGGCGAGATTCTTGAACCAGAGACTCTCCCGGCTCAAGGAAAGCTTAAAAGACCTGGTGTTGTTAATCAAAACATAAGTTGTACATATTTACAAGCCTTAAAAGGACAGCTGTGCGGTCGCAACTGAAGAGCGTTCATCGAGTGTCCAGGATGCCTTTCGTGCGGCTTTCATTGCTGTTGCTGTTGCTGTTGCTGTTGATGGCCAAGATCGAGGTCGACAATGTCGGGGCGAGGGACCGCGAAGTCTACCCGGAAAGAGGCTACTGCGGCAACTCCATGTCGCCAAACTGCTCAGACAGTAGAGGTAAAGACACGGCCGGCTCATTGCACTCAGGCAACTCCCCGTTCAGGTCAGCAACATAGGCGTTAACTTCCTTGAGGGAAACCGGGAACCCGCACCCCCTAGACCAGTTGTTGATATTCCAACAAGCCCAGTCGCGGGCAATCCCTGCCTCGGCGTCCGCCTTTTTATGCAGCCGCCTTGCCGCGCCATCGGGCTGACGACCACTGTGGCCAGGCACCCAGTGCAGCTCGAGGCCGACGTCCATGAGAGTAGAGGACGCGGCGCGGTTGACGAAACGCCGCTCGAGTTCCATGGACTGCTCAATTGCAGCCGTGGCGGCCATGCGCAGACCGGCAGTGGTGATGGGGAGCTGGCCGTCCAGCATGAGAAGGGCGCCCGTGGAGTCGGTAAAGATCTTGGCGGTGACCTTTGTCCGCCGCTGGTTGGACTTGGTCGCTCTCTTCAGCCTCTTGTGCTCCCTTCTGGCTATTCTCCTCTCTTTTCTCTCTGCCCTTTTCTCGCGCAGGCGCTCCTTGGTTCTCTTTGCGTCCCGTTTGGTTCTCCTCGCCTTCTTTGCCAACTTGCGATGTTGCTTGGCCATCTTCCTTGCCTGTCTCTCCTTCCACTCCCTCGCCTTTCTCTCCTCTTTTTCCTGCCTCCTCTTCTTCTCCTCCACCGCCAGCCTGGCCTCCAAGCGGTATAGTTCGACCATGGCCACGTGGATTGTAAAGGAAAGAGCCAGGGTCTCTGCACCCGTGATGTTGAGCGCATCGGCTTCGTCTACCCACACGGGCCAGCCCGCCCACACTTCCACCATGCCGTTGGGTGCGCCCGCCAAGCTGGGGTCATGGCGGCGCAACGCTACCCCGGCTCCGGCACAGGTGCTAGTCTGCTTGCGCGGGTCCATGGAGGCGTCGGAGAAGATCACCACTTGGGTGTCTTGGGGGGTGTTGACGTGGGAGCCAGCAGCTTGAGCCGCCTGAAAAGCGAGGGCGTAGGCGCCGCCTTCGTCCTTTTCATCTTGGACGATGATACGGCCACGGAAGAAACGGGGGTAGTCTGGATGGAAAAAGAGGGTTAGTTCAGCTGTCTTTGTGCTCGAGTGAACTTCAAGGTGAAATAATGAAAGCGACTTGGAACTTTGCCGGAGTGTCTACAAACAAACAGAGGGCAGTTGTTGAAGATCCAAAAAAAGGAGATACTTACTGCCTCTCATTGCCATCCAGCCCCTGTACCAGGTACTTTCCAACCTATTCCTCTCCTGTATCTGCCGTTTGGCCTCCTCCTTGTCATGCTTGTGGCCGACGTTGTGGGTTGCGGCCGCTGCGACGGTGGACTGAGGTTGGGAGGTGGTCTCCGAGAAGACCGCAAGGAGAGCAGCGATGTCCATTTCCTGATTGCTGGACATTTTAGGTTAGTACATACAACGAAATGGAAGCGAGGAGAAAGAGTGATTGCTGATAGGCGCTTGGAGACTAAGGTACCTATGTCTACGAAGAATTCGAGGCAAGTGTGATTTTGTTGAGCTGCTAACGTTTCGAAAGTCAGTCTACGTGATCTAAGCCTGTTTAGAAGATATCTTGGGTCTTGATCCGTCTTTTGTGGCTAGAGAAACTTGAATGCGTTCACGATGATATCAATGGGAGTCCGTCACTAGACGGGAGGCAGTTGTAGAAAAACTCGAAGGAGTTTACAGAAGACGTGAACGAGTTTGGTTGAGGGTTTGATGCCTTACTTTACAGACCGAATGCGTTACTTTGTTGTCTTTTTTTGGTGATGGAAAGAAAGCTGCAGAGAAGGAGAACGAAGCTCACGAGATGTGGAGGGGTATCGTCTGAGGCAAGCAAAGGGGACTGGCTGCCTTGCCAGTTTCTGCCAGTGTCAGGGGGGCCGCAAATACCTTTGCCGGGCAACGGGCTGGCAAACTGTGACGAAGACGAGGTCCAGAGGCTGGGATTATTGGCTGATATCCGATGGAGTCCTCACCGGGCTCGGGTGCTTGACGTCGGGAGGGTAAGCTGGGGCTCCCGGGCGCGTAGGAGTCTGGGACCTCTCCGATTCTGTTTCCTGATCTTCACCATCCATCCTGCAAGCCTGGATTTGCATCTGTATTTGGGGGTCCTTTTTGCAGAGCCCTTCCCGTGGTATCAAAGTTAGCTGAGCAGCCCAGATATTATGCATCTTTCCTATTTATGTGATTGTCTCTGAGTACCTCCTCCAAGGTCTGGTAGAGCAGGTCTGAAGCTGCTTTACAGTACCTTACTTCCATTTTATCACCATCCCCGATCTCGACATGGACACCGGACTGCCTGGCATAACTAAACGACCATGGACGAAACGAACCCTTAACCACCGTCGCCGTTCTCTCTACGTCCCCAATACCGTGTTATTCTCCCTTTGATTCAAGGTTCTCTCTTCGAAGTTTGCAGCAGTCAACTCGCTCCCTCAACCGACGAACGTCGAGTGCCAGATTTCCTCGATGACTTCAGTCCAGTCACCGCGTCGACCTCGCCTCGCTTTGAGTCGCACAGGCATACCCAGGCATATATCGCAACCGGTCGCCATCATGGCTGACCGTATCGGTGCGCCTACACCGAACTTTATGTTGACCGAGCGCGACGTATTCACTCCTTGATCGAGTCTTCAATCCGGCGCAATGAAGCTCGCTAAGCATCGCTACAAGTCATTGCCAAACAACAGACCTCTCGGCAAGCTCTGCTCCGAATGGAAACATTGTACGAAACCACCGGAGATCGTCATTCTCCTTCAGGCTGGGGCCGCCAACGTTACTGGCCTTAACAGTGACCTTGGCCTTGCCAGCCATCTGGTGCTTGGCCACATGCCTAAAGGTACGCAAGTTGGAGGTATTTCCCTAATTTTGAGTCCTCCTTCCAAGTGTGGTGGCACTGGAGCGGTACTCAATCATGCTTCCGGCCTCGCGCGATGAATTCCGGGAAGAACGACAGTAACAAACACCATTGTACCTCTAGACTCCATCTCAAGCGCTCCATTGGAACTGGTACTTGTAGAGGTAGCCTAGGTGTAGGGGTCGAGGTTGCTTCTGTTTCTGTTGCGACAGCATCATAGCGGCTGTTCACTACTCCCTTTAAGCGCAAAACTCCCGTCATGGGTCGCGACCATTGGAGGAGCCAGACAAGATCTTGTGTTTGTTCCAAGAGTTCCTCAGAGCTTTGGTGCTTGCCACGAGCGTTTACCACCAGGCATCAAGGAATACAGAGTCAACAAAGCAATAAGAGAGACGTCTTTTCGATACTTGGCGATTGATGAGGTACTTTGAGGGCATGCCTGGACACTCCGCGCCTGGTAAAGGTCGCGAAGAGCAAGAAATCAATCCATTGAACTACAAGCCGATGAAGGAGATACTTGAAGACATGAAGGGAGCGACACTTGGAAACAAAAGAGCAGGCCAAATAGAGGGATCAGGGCTAGCTATTTCAGAAACGACCAAAGGAATCCAGGGAAGGCTAGGTACTTTGAATTCATTAACGCCGTTTGGCACTTTGTCTCTTTCCCACCTTCACTGACATGGAAAGCGTGCTAATTACTCTGCCATATAGGTCTGTCGCCTTGCGAGAAAGTAAAGTCCACGGACAGAAAGCAGAAATGCAGCTCAGCGATTTTGAACAAAGAGGGACACTCAACTCATTCCGGCACTCTTTCGACCCAGGCACCAAACGTCTCCAAGCGCTGAATCTACTTACGCTTCGGCGGTCGAGCTGAACAAAAACGTCCATGAAGGATCGAACAATCAGTCAAGGAGGCGTTGGTGGACTCATTCTTGCCCTGAGCCCCAAGCGCGTCTGTCAAAGTGGTTTCCAATAACAGAAAAAGAGAGCGGGCTGGCATTGTGATATAGAGGTACTAGATTTTGCCCATCGTCGGGACAATGTGTTGAGTTTATGCGACAAGCAATCCTTGAAAAGTTGGACACACATGCCGAAAAGGGCTAGGTTTTTGTGGTTGGAAACGCCATTGGTGCTGGTACGATTCAGTTGCCGGACCAAAGCCAGGGCACGAAAGCAACAGGATCAACAGTAAGAGTTGGAGGAGGAGGAGGACATGAGGGGGGATGAGCAGAAGAAGAAGGAAGAAGGAGGTGCAAAATATGGAAGAGTGGCGGAAGGGGTACTGTAGAGCTCCGGCTGTGGTTCAAGGGGTGCCCTTTGACCCTCTCGCCTCATTGCAACTTCTTCACGCTTGATTGACGATAGGTTCCTGCCTCAGCTGAGATCTCGGTCAGGCACTCTTTCCTCTTCGAAGCCCCATTTATGGCGCCGATTTTTCTTTCCTTCGGCATCCAGTCGCCCTCATGCTTACATCTGGACCTTTATCCTCGGGCCACTCCTTCTGCCTTTGCTCTTCTTTGGTCCTGACCTGGTGTTCCGTTAAGTACTAGACCTTAATTGGCTCGAACCCTGGTCTCTTCCGGTCCGCCTTGTCTACCTATTGAAGCTCTTCGCTCTTGCTTTTCTTGCTGATCGTTCGAACCCCTTCAGCTGACGTGCACCAGTGGTCAGAATAATATTGCTGCATTACTGAACCCTGCATGACGCACAACGCAGAACGTGCTTAGTGTGATTCCTAATTTTTCCCGTGGTATGGCTCGCGGGAGTTATGTGGTGGCATCTCTTCGTCAACAAGCAATACCTAACCTCAAGAGAAGTCTGCCGTAGGCGCTACGACGATCGTAGGGATGGAAGCCCAGATCAGGAAAAGGGATGATTGATCCTGTACATCTTGAATCAATGGCTTTCCGTATCAAACTGGTTCCTTGAGTGCGACAGGTCTACTGTCAAGAAGAACTATCCGATGCACATGGATTTTCTCTCTCCAACATCAACGTAACCCACATTTTCCCATCCGTCTTCCCATCCTCGCTCCTCTCCCCATCTCGATATTCATCTCCATTTCTAGGACTGACCGTATAATCCATAGTCCTCCACCCCTCCATAAACCCTCCATGACTCCCTTCAGGTAACCAGTCCGGATGCAATTTGAAGGACGCTTCTTCGCAAGGAATGCACATACAAATTTCCCTCAACTGCCCAAATTTTCTGATTATGGTCCGTCCAAACAGCTGCGCCTCACGCTTGTTCCAGAATATACAGTCCGTCCCATGAAGCTCAAATCTCAGCTGCTTAATCTTCGACCGATCCTTATTAGCAATGCGGATGATGGGTGAGTCCAAGTCAGCGCCGAAGTCAAATATATCCAGCTCGAAATGGACCCAGAGATACCGATTGTTCCAGCTGCCATCGAAGTAGGGCAGGCACCAGGTGGAGAAAGCCTTTTGGTAGCCGCCTTGGAAATGAAGCCCTATGTTGCGGGATTCGCGGCAGGTGTGGAGGATCGGTGGTGGTGGCGGAGTTGAGGTAAAAGTCCAAAAGCTGATATTAGGTTTGGGTGTGGGAATGGATACCTCTACCCGTTGTTCTTGGTCGTCGCCGCCGCATCTGAAAGCGCAGGTCCGAAAGTTGATGGTGCGCGGTGAAATGCTTGCTTCCCATATCACGAGTCGGAGCTCAAGCGGGAGCCGGGGAAAGGGGTGGAAGGTGGTAGCCATCGTGACGGGGCCTTTGGATGTGGAGATAATGCTGTTGATGGGGAAAACCAGGACTTCAAGCTTAAAGACCTGATGTCGTACGACTCATGGACGCGCGCGTTTGTTCGTCACAGGGGTTTCTGGTTCTAGGAAGAATCCAGGTCCAAGATTTCCACACAAATGGGAATCCGGTCAGCTTATGAAGTTACCGTATGAACCCCGCCCAGCCGTAGCCAACCACACGGTCACTTCGTACCGTTAAAGGTACTGGTAGATAGGTCGGTATTGTATATGCTGCTCTACCCAGGACTGACGTATCATGCGTCGCTGACATAAGCGTGCACAACTTAGCGTGGCCCAAGTTTGGGTTACGCTCAATTGATAAAGTTTGGTTGGAAAAGGGTTCGTGACAATGGCAGCCACTGGGCTCGCAATGAAGGAAGCAATGAGAGTCAATGGGACGGAGTCAATTGGAGTCAATAGTTTATCGTTGACTTGCCAAGGTTTTAGGGGTACCTACGTACCTCTGGGTAGGTAGTACGCAAATGGCGGGGACCCCTGCTAGAGGATTTCGGAGTTTGGGGAAATGGGGTAAGGCCGGGGTGGTAAGGTAGGTAACAATGCAAACGGATCCTTCCACCTTCTTGAGAAGAAAAGAAATGAGGGAGGGAAAGAAAAGGATGAGAAGAGAAGAATACTTAGTGTAAGTATTCAGGGGCAGCATATGAAAAGGCGGACAGCTGAGGCCAGATGGAAGCTCGGACCAATTTTTAAATTAAGCATATGTACAAGTACTGTAACCCAACCCTTGGGCCAAGCACCGTAACAACTTGGGCAGCCATCCTTCCATGCGCCAGGTCGATCAGTGCACACGTGGAAGTCATCTCAACGAACCACAACAGCTCCTCACCGGCCAAACTGAAGCGTGGCCACATGCGCAGCAAGCCAAGACCAAAAAAAAAGCAAAAAATCACTCTATCGCCAAAGCTACTAGGTACCCAACCGGCCTCACTGCAGTCCATCGAGGACATATTATGTCTCCCACCAGCAGCACCACCACCACCACCACCACCTTCCACCTCTTCCCTCTCCTCCCTCTCGAACTCCGCCTCCAGATATGGGAATTCACCATCACCCCCCGCACCGTCTTACTACGCGTCGGCACGAGACACTGGCGTCCCTTTACTACCCAAGCCGCCTATAGCCTGCTCCCAACCACGCCCGCGCCCGCGCTTCTTCGTACCTGCCACGAATCCCGCGAGGTCGGGCTCAAGGCATACACGCAAGCCTTTTCGGAATGGGACACGGACCGTAGTCCGGGGCGGTGCAGTCCGGCGGCGGCGGCCGCCAGGTATCTTTGGGTGAACTTTGCGTTGGACATGATTGACATTGGCGGGCTGGGGATCCAATTTGTGGCCATGTACAAGAGGCAAATCAGGCGGTTAAAGCTGGAGTGCGATAGGGCGAACACGGTGGGGAGATATGAGTTTGGCTTGTTGAGGGACCAGCTGCAGACGAGGGAGTATGAGAGGCTGAGGGAGGTGGAGATTGGGGTTCGTGATGATGCGTGGTTTCCAGAGAGCTGGAGGCGGGACGGGGCGTTTGTGGAGGGGTGGAGGTTGGAGGTGAGGAATTGGGAGGATGGGAGGGGGTATACTTTGTTGATGGAGCGGATGATGGGTGGTGATAATGATGATAATGATGCGAATTGTGGGTGAACAGGACGGGGGTGGGTTTTGGAGATGCGGAGGGATTCACTTCAGTTTTCCAAAAACAAAGAAAAGGAGAAAAGGAGCAAAAAAGAAAGTCAGGTCCAAAAACGGCCCAAAAGTAATGCTTGAAGCTTTGACCCCAACCCGATTTGAACGGATAACCTTTCGATCTGGAGTCGAACGCGCTACCGTTGCGCCATAGGGCCTTGTTGAAAGCAGGTGCTGAAGTCGGTACTTATTACCTCAGCTGCAAGCCGGAGCGGTACGCTACCTCGGCTGTTGTTGGTTTGGAGGGAGGGCAATGAGCGGGATCTGTCATCTTTGGTGTTGAATTCCGACAAATCGCTCCAAACAACTGAACCTCACTGACCCACGACGACACAGCGAACACGAGCCAAAAGGAACGACTTGCGACAACCGCCGTGGCTTTGCGCCATCCCACGTTGACCTTTTCAGCAGCATTCAGTCCAGCGATTCAGACCTAATTCAACGGTTGATCATACCTTTCTGGCCGTGACAAGTACGTAGGTGGCCCTCGCCTGGGAAACATTCCATCATGTGCCTCTGTTCTTGGGGCTGAAATTCGATAGTTCACACTCGCTGATTTCGGACGACGGTGGCCATTGCGTCCGGGGTAAGTACCTCTAGCGGCCACGGAAAGCGCCTTTTCCGTCCTTACTAGGTCTCCCGCCGCAGCCACTGCATGGCGGAAATGAACAAGTGGCCGCATCAAGCCATCGGTCAACGCTTCTTCACGGACAGGAGGGTGTTTCCTGTGTAGGGTAGATTGAGGTTGCCAAGAGGGTAACTGCAGGTACCTACGTACGTACCTGCTTCCAGTCTTTACATAGAGCTGCAGCCACTTAACGGTCGGCACCGCACTGGGCAGAGCACCGGAGAGCGGTTGGCCTGTGCGCTGTAGCAATCCATCGATGTTTCAGTTCCCCGTCCGTCTTGTTTGCTCCCCACATTTTGTCCATCGTTCGTCCGACGTCAATTTCCTCCTTCCATCTTTGTTTGGACTTCAATTTCTGGATTCTTCATTCGGTTCTTCCGTCGCAAACTTCAATCCATGGACATTCTCGTCTTCGAACCCGCCTCGGCCAGTTTCTGTTCGGAAAATTCAATCCCAGAATTGCGCTCGGACATCATCGTACACTACAGAACCCACGAGGCCTCTTTCAATAGTGCCGTTCCTGACGACAGGCCTCCGAACGGATCCACGATGTGACAACGAGGGACCATTCTAGACCTCTTCCTCCTACCCCACCTCTCTATCCTTCCTCGGCGCGTCAGCTAGGAACTAGCTCGTGGCTTTCCCAAACAGATCTCTAATCCCTGGGCTGAGGCTGATGTCGGCAACATGGTTTCCCCCGCAAGCATATCACTGGCGATCCCCACGTGTGACTGGCAACTAGTCTGTCTTGGTTGACGACATTATCACTCCAAGTCATGTCCTGAAGGCTGGAAAGTAACTATGTACGAACCTGTGTGCTGGCTCCAAGCTGATATCACTGACTAACGAAGCAAATTGTCCTAGGATAACCGCCGGCGCAACACATCTTTCTTCCATCAGCTCCGATCAGGGCAGCATTGGCATGGGATATCATGCCCTTTCGGGCTTCAATGAACAGTTTGTTACGCAACCAACATGACGATGCCTTGTCGAGCACAACAACACTAGTGGGCTTCTGTCATGGAACGACCAGCCTACCTCGTTGTGATGGCATTCGATAGTCGGCCTCGCTTGCGTGATGGACCGGCCACTCAACGAAGGTGCGGACGCCACAATATCTGGTCTTCACACATCGACTCTCACGGAGATGCCGTGATGCCAGACTGAGGAGAGCCATTGGTTCATGGCCATACGAGGATGGGACGCCGGTTTCCAGGACGCGCTTGATGAGGATACCGAAGATGGAACAGAGAGTTGTCGAGGTCAGAAATGCCATGTATAAAACCCTCTTTCCATCCTCCCATCAACACAATCCATCACCATCACCATCAACATCACAATCACAACACCAGTTGACAAAACATCCAAACACTCAAACAACTTCCATTCTTCATCATTGCCCATCATGTCCAACATCGACTTTGTCCAAGCTCTCAAGACCTCCAAGGCCCCCGGCGCTTCTTGGAGGCTCCCCGATGTCAAGGGCTTGGCCTCAAAGCCAGAGTCTGGGTTGCTTGAGGATGGTTGCCATACCGAAGAATCTGTCTTTGATCCAGACAACCGCGAGAAGGTTCACCCTAGAGACTTTGCGGACGGTGGAAAGTATCGCTGTAAGTGGCTTCAGATCAAAGCTTGAATCACTTTTCTTGACGTACCATTGCTAATCTCCTTGAAAGCTATCATCAAGCTTGCCATGCGCTATGAGGGAATGGGTGCTGGTGATAACCGCTGGGCGTAAGTTTATGGCCACTCGTGTTGCGGACGAGCGGGCTATCGCTAATTTCATTTTTCCTCTAGTATCGGCACTGGCTACCTTGTCGCCTCCGACACTTTTGTTACTGCCGGCCACTGCGTCTTCCACCGCGGCGATGATGGTCACGGTCTCGGTCGTCTCACTCACATGAAATGTTTCATCGGATACCACGGGAAAGACTCGGCTAGCGATCCATCCGTCCAATTCCGCTCTGCCGCCAAGGTCGTCACCACATCCAAGTACATCATTGATGGCGATCGTCGCCGTGATGTTGCCTTTGTCAAGGTTGACCAGCCCTTCGACGGCAACCTTAACCTCTTCAAGTACCAGGACACACCTCTCAAGGATAGCACTCTCCTGGGCGTCATCGGCTATCCGGGAGACAAGTCAATGAACAACGAGAAAGGCGCCGAGATGTATGAGCTTGTCGAGCAAGTCGCATTTGACTTGAATGTCAGCCAAAGGAACATGCTCGAATACCCAATTTCGACTGCCGGAGGTGAGCATTCGTCAGCGTGTTAAATCACTAGGTAGTGAATCGATCTAACAGCGTGCCTGTTTTAGGTCAGTCTGGCGCTCCTGTCCTCAAATTCAAGTTCAGCGGTAGTCGCGTAGTGCCGGATGCTGTTATTGGCACCCATTGCTACGGCGGATCTGGTAACAACTCTGCCAGCGTCATTGGCGGTCAGTACGGTAACGACTACAAGGCGCTCCTAGCCGGTCTCCCAAAGAACGGCAGTCCTTTGGTCACGGATATAAGCCAGGGTATTCTTGGCGTGAAGCCCGTGGACCAGGTTGACCTCGATGAGGCGGAGGGATTCCTTGACGTCTTGAAGGACATTGGCCGCGTTGTCGCGCCCATCGCCCAACAAGGTCTTTCGTTTGCTTCGCCTTTTCTCGGCCCTCTAGGAGGCCCCGTCTCTGCCATTGGTGGCATTGCCCTTGGCGCGCTAAGCAAAGTTTGTGAGGAATCTGCTTTGGACGAAGACCAGGCGCCATCCTACAAGCTTGAGGACGGTATAGCGCAACGTGCTGTCCTAGCTGAAGCTGCACTTCAGACTGTTCTCCGTATGGAGCGCAGCCCAGCCAACAAGCGCATCATGGACAACATGCAAGCCAAGTATAAAGGTAGCCGGTTCGATTCGGAGAAGGCCAACAAGCTTGGTACCAAATTGGTTCCTCTACTGTCCCAGGCCGGCCTTCATCTTGCCATCAACGAGAACCTCGCCACTGGCAGGAAGCAAGTCAGTGGCGTAAAGAAGGTCCCCAAGCCCACAGGACCCGAGGCTGACGGCCTCGAGGCCGGCGACCCGCAAATTGCTGGCTTCATTAACGCTGTTACTCAGACGGAGGTCAAGCAATACACAAGTGTGGGCAAGATTGATGATGCCGAATCTGAGTTCTTCGACAACCTCAGTGCTTTCATTGGCAAAGCTTTTCGGGCTAGTAAGCCTGCGCTGATTGACGGTGCTCGGGCTGTCCTTACCACTGGCCAGAAGCAGCTCGACGATTACCTCTCCAAGAAGTCTGCATCACCCGAAACCGACCTTTCGGCCCCGCCCAACCCTACTGACAAGAACCGTCCGATTACAGATGCCAAGGCCGCTGGTTTGCTAGCTCATCGTGCCGTTTTGGCCGAATGTGCACTCCAAGCCGTTCTGGAGGCCAAAAATGGCGATCTTCAGGAGAGTGTTATCCTCGGTGATAGCGGTTCCGCCGAGCCCGAGTCTTTCTTTGACGGATTGCTCAAGACAGTCCAGATGATGGGCTCGGCTGTGGTCAAGGTTGCTCCCAAGGTTTTGGACGTGGCGTTGCCGATTTTGCTTGACACGGTCAAGGGCCATGCTCGTGCCGAGTCCATCTTTGATACTCCTGTGGTTCCTCCTCCTGCTCCGCGCCCCAATGGCGTCAAGGCTGCAAGTGGGGGCTTTGCAAGTATGAACACCGCGAGTGCTAATGGGGGAGATGGTGAAGGTGGTGGCCGTGACAAGCTCCTCTTCATCCAGGGTCACTTTGTCCCGAACGTTTGAATGAGTTCGAGGTTCTCTTGGGCGCGTGGGGGGGTGTCTGTCGATTCTTGACGGATGGATGACTGTAATTGTGGAAGGTGTCCGGGAGTGCGGAACAAGAAGGGCATTGTGGCTTAGGCTGGCCCTAAGCATCTCGTTTTGGTTGTCTTCGGTCATGTTTCTGTTTGAATTTTGTTCCTGGTTATTAAGTATCGCAATAATATTCTTCTAGGCCTAGCATGCATGGTCCCTTCGTTGCCTTGCTCCTCGCGAGTGGTTGTCCTGCCACCTACTTGACCTTCCGCCATTCTACCCGGCATTCTTTCATTATGTAGGCTAAATCTCCACCTCACCGTCCTAGGATGCGTGTATGCTAACCTTAGGGTGTGCGGAAGTTTGGATGTTCAGTGTGTCCGTACACTGGTACGAGAATTCGTTGAGTGTTCACAGGTTTAAAAATGAAGGCTGAGCGTGAGGTGTTCATGTCTCATAGGATGATGGCTCAAAGAAACGTCCACCCTGTGGGAATATTATTCAGGGGTAGTTTGGGACGGAACCTGCGCCAATACATGTGCAGACAAAGGTGCATTCGATACAGGTGGTCGGGGACGCCAATGCGTACGTGTACATGACATTTGGCGGGCGCAGGGTACTTTGGCGGAACTGAATTGGACCTGCTGATCGGATAATTGACATGGATGCAAAGGTGAATGTTCCAGAACAGAGTTAATGTGGTGTCGTGCAAAGGACCTCAAGGTTCAAAGTTGGGCAGTCGAGGTGAATGCATTTATGGCCATTGGGACTGCTGAGGTGCTCAATTTGCTTGGGACGAATGGACAAACAGCTGACACTGAACACCCGAATGGGCGATATCTAGGACGGCAGTGCGAGAGAGGTGGAAGAGGCAGCCAGCTCGAGCTCGTTTGAGATGTGACGAAGTTGGGGACGACAAGACCGAACTCCTTTCATCCATCCATGTCTGGCGCCGGAAAAAAAAAAGGAGCCGCATGCAAACAACACAACTGCATCATCATCAAGATCAGGCATTTGTTGCTCAATGTTGAGGATGGATCGGTTTGCAATCCTTTATGGAAGGATTGCGATCGTTGTTGTGATCTATGCATTTCAGGTCGAGTTCTGATGTTGATGTGAGCCAGGGGGGAGTCTTGGCAAATTTGGAAGTCGAAAGGCACTGTAGACACTCGAGAATATCACGGCCACAGCTCAGATTAGTGGCTGTTGTAAGCATATAGCCATGATGTAAATGATAATATATCAGTTTCTCCCTTAATCGTGGAGTTCTATCCATCGAATTGTGCACAAAATGCTGGACTGTCAGGACCCATTTCTGGTTCAGATCCAAACCTTGACGAGACCGTTTGACACTCGACCACAAATGGTAAATGCAGTGCCCTAGACCCGCTATGACGTGCTGTGCAAATGTCCGGTGAATGTTTCTGCCCGTTCTCACGGTGCAGCCGGAGCGAGCCCGTGATGATCGACCCAAAGCTGGAAGTGATATGGGTATCAAGCTGACCGCGCCGCCCAAGACCACAATCGTCAGCCCAAACTATCAGATATTGCTAGTTTGAACTTGTTCAACCCACGCGCGTAATGCCTAGAAGTCATTTCTACTTTTTCCTGTAGAAACCACCCCATGCGCGTGCTGTAGCTGTGATAAGCCGGATCCGCATCACCACCTCCCGCCTTGGATATCTCTCACCACCCGCCCCAATTCTCACCTCCCACCTCACCTTGCCATCACCAACCTTATTGCAAACAGATATTCTGCAAGCCTGGCATTCACAAGTCCCGTCCCAACATTTCCTGCCACCCTTCCCCACCCAAAACCACTTTGCACATCAAGGTCCTAGCCACACTCATGGTGTTTGCCAGCCCATGACACCTGTCCCCGACACATTGACATTGGTCCAACATCGGTCTGACACTTGCCAGAAATTTCACAGCATCCCGCACCATTTCCCAGAGTATAAGAACCCCCCCATCTACCATCAACTCTTCCTGTTGTATCTTCTTCCCACCAGCACTTTTCCAATTCCCGAACTCGCACCCGCACAACTTTCTTCACAACCTCGCACCTCTTCCGTGCTCAACTCTTCCTTCATACATCCACACTCGTCATCCATCAACAATCTCAACTTCCTTGTCACATCTTCTGTGCTAGGATCGCCACTCGTCCACACGCGACTTTTCTTTGTCACTTTTTCAATCGACAGTCAAGATGCCTCCCAAGGTTGATGCCTCCGAGAAGGGTCCTTTCACCGCGCGTGAGGTTGACACTCTCGTCATGTCCTTCTTGTGCATGCCCGAAATGCCTGTGGTAGGTCGCACTTTTTCTTTGTTTTCCATCATGATTCATCACTATCGTGGTAATCATCATCATCATCATCATCTTCTTCTTGTTCTTCTTTATCAGTACCATTCACCATTCACCTTCCCCATCATGCCTCTCCTTCATGCATCCACAACATGCATCATACTGGTTCACTTCACCCACCCCAACCTCACCTCGTCATCACCACTCCCACCCACATGCAACCAATGCTAATCCCTCCTAGGTCGACTACGTCAAACTCGCCAACCACCTCGGCATGGCCAACCACCGCAGCGCCTCCAACGCCTGGTCGGCACTCAAGAAGAAGATCTCTGAGCTGAAGCCAGATATCCCTCTCCCGCCCAAGCCCACCAAGGCCAAGGGCAAAGCCGCTGCCAACGGCGCCGCTTCAAGCAAGAAGGCCAACGGAAAAGCAAAGCCCGCTGCTGATGTCAAGGACGAGCCGGTGTCTGAGGCTGAAAGCGACAAGTCTGAACTTTCGAGCGTCAAGAGTGAGGAGATCAAGATCGACGCTTCTACCGAGAAGGCCGCCGACAAGAAGAAGCCTGCTGTGAGGAAGACAGTCAAGAAGGAGACCAAGATCAAGAAGGAGGATACCCTCATCGGAGACGACGAGGAGGAGGAGGAGACACCCGTCAAGTCCGAGCAGAGCAGCGATGTTGAGGATGTTGCTGTCTCGATTGAGCAAGAACACGAGCAACAGCCAGAGCCAGTCATCATCCCTATCACCAAGAAACGCGGCCGCTCCGCCAAATCCACTGAGAAGGAGGGTCCCGCGGCCAAGAAGCCTCGCACGACCGCCGCTGCTGCCAAGACTGCTTCACCCAAGAAGACTGCTGTTCCCCGCGGCAGAGCGGCTCAGGCTAAGGCTGCTGCTGCTGCTGCCAAGGCGGCGGAGGAGGCTGCGAGCAAGAAGATCAAGAAGGAGCAGGAGGATAGTGAGATGGAAGATGCCCCCAGTGCCGGTGAGGAGAGCGACCGTGGTGTGAAGGTCAAGACTGAGGTTCGCGAGGATGCTGGAAATAGCAGCGAGGTGGAAGCTGCTGAGCAGTTGGAGAGGGAGCAGGAGGAGGATTGTGATGAGGGGGAGATTTGAGAGATTTCTCTCACAAGGAACTCCATTGGCTTCTGGTCTTGCAGCATATTGCATCGACATCGGACATTGGCATCAGCATCAAGGACTGGTTTTATTTGCTTTAGCGTGGGAATTAATCATCAACATGGGTCTGGTACCTCCAGTATCGGACGGGTACATCAAAGGCACATCATAGCGAAGGGTCATCAGTTCATGTTCCTTTGGCGGCAATAGGGACGGAGGAGGACATACAAAGATGAGAGGAGGATTGATGGCATTCCTGTATCGTGTGTCTCTGGCACTTCCCTATTTGCCGCGGAGTTTGAAAATGGAACGGAACAGAAAGGAGCGTGGAGTTGCGGCGGGTCATGTTTTCGTCTCGGTCCATTGCTGATACCCTTCTTTCAGTCAGTCAGTCAGTTTTTCTTTTTTTCGGTTTTTATGGCTTAAATTTCTAGCATCGGTTATGATGGCGGATTTGAGGTCTTTATGGCTCGACAGTTGGACGGCGCTTATTGCCGTTGTTGTTGAGGGAGGACAATTAGCATAACATAGCGCTTAATGAGAGTTTTCGGTTCGAATAGCATTCGGTTCTTCGTGCATCTGCCGTGGTGTCTGGACCACGCAATGATGTATAATCTTTGACCTACTGTGTCTTGTGTCTTACTTCTCTTTCTGCCCAATGGTACTTGGTCAAAAGGTAAGACCCCTTCGGCAGTTGCAACCTTTGCCAATCTTTGACAACACTCCACGGCCACAACAGTCTTGTCCCATTTCCTTTGCTCACCACACCACCATACCATTCCAGTCAGAACCAGGACGTTTCGAGCCTGGAAGAAAAGGAGTCCAAAGAATGGGCAAACAAGAGAAGGAGAAGCGAGTGGCCAAAAGGCGATGGAAGAGGTGAGGGAAGTTGTAGACTGGCAAGAATGGAGTACAATACAAGAGGCAGCGCTTTCTCTAGGAGACTGAAGGAGGAAGATCCAAAGTGTGTCCGGTCGTGGTCACCCATTTCTTCCAGTGTGGAAGATACTTACTCGCTCCTGCTCTGATCCAACATGTTACTGTAGGTCAGGCCATGAACCTATCCACTATCATCAAACTTCATCATCATTGGATTCCATCATCGGTGGACATATACCATACAGCATTTCCATTCATCATCCAGACCTACAATCACAGGGCCAGCACTTTCTGAAATTACAGCGATCACAGCACTGCAGTTACAGCGTCATTACTGGACCGCTACACTAACACGGCGCCCATTTCCCCACAAAGGAACCCTTGTCAAGCCAGATCGACCAATCGGCAACACCAGAGATAAGATCTCGGATCCACAGTTTGACGACAGTTCCTCGTTCTTCTCATTTTCCCGTATTTCTTTCTTTTCTTTTCTTTCTTTCACATTACGAGAACGAAACAAAGCCAGTCACAGGTCTCAAACGACCCTCAACTGGACCTGAAGACAGCCCCAATAACAAAATCGAAAAGGAATTCCTGGAGAAAACATCAGCATTACCATCGCCCAAAATGGCCAACCCCGCAACTCTCCTTGAAGTGGTTAGGGACTGCGACAAGTGAGTCATGACACCACTGCCTAGAAGTACCTCTACCCTGCTGTGAACCACCACTAACCACTTGACCCCCCAACCATCACAGCTTCCCCTACCCCTGCTGCCCCCATCTCCAAACCTGGTCGTCCACCACTGTCTCGCGCGCTACCACCGTCTCCCGTGCGGCCTCAGCGGCCCCCACCACATCGCCCCCTCCAGCAGCCCCCTCCTCAGACTTAGACCCCTACTCACGCGCCCTCTCCAATCTCTGGACTTTCCATCTCCCTTACGACCCCACTCCCCATGGCTTCCTCACCCACGAGGTCATCAGCAACATGCGCTGGACTAAGCACTTCTACCTCGACGTCGGCAACCAAGCAGTCGACCTTCTCGCGCCTTCAGCCGAGGACCTGCTCCCCGAGGACAACGGCTCCTGGGAAGTCGCCTGTTCGAGGATCCTGGATGAGCAAATTGAGATCGCCAGACAAGACAACGTTCTGAGCAAAATTCTGGGACCCAAGAAGAAAGGGGAGCAGTTCCCCATTGTTGGCGCCAAGTTCGATGTGGGCGTTGATCGGTCGGCGATTGGATTGTTGGGCATGATAGGGAGGGGGGCGCACATGACTGTTTACTCGCGCGTTCGGTCAACCCCATCGCTAGAAGATGGCGATGATGAACAACAAAGGGGGCTTGGCAAGGACCTGCGGTTTTGGATTCCGAGGCGCGATTACAGCAAGTCAACCTATCCAGGCAAGTTGGACCAGGCGGTGGCGGGTGGAGTGGCGAGGGGGGAAACGCCGTGGGAGTGTATCATCCGGGAAGCCGTCGAGGAAGCAGGGTCGGCGTTGAGCGACGAGTTTGTGAGGGCGAATGCGAAAGCGGCGGGCACGGTGACTTGGCTCAACATCTCTGACCGCCGCGCCGGGCCGGGACAAGGAGGATTGATCAACCCGGGCGTGCTGTACGTCTATGACTTGGAGCTGCCTGATGAGGGGAGAGACTTTAGGTTCGAGCCGGTGCCGGGAGATATTGACAGTTGGGCGGTCATGGACACAGATGAGGTGATGACGGCCATGAAGAGGCTTGAGTTTAAGCCCAGTTGTGCGGTAGTTATGATCGACTTTTTGGTGAGACATGGTGTGATCACGGCAGAGAATGAGCCGGATTACACCGAGATTGTGAGTCGGCTGCACCGGCTGTTGCCCTTGCCGACGAGTTCGAGGAGGGAGGGCGAAAGGGAGCGCAATGTCGTTTGAGGGCCGAGTGGTGGGGGATGCAGTTTTAGCGGATGGTAGGAGAAAGTACCCCAGGTTGGTCGATCAACAAGGGCAAAACCACGGGATATACATGCTGGGCTTGGGAAAGGCGCGTTGGAATACTTGATTACCAGAAAGAGATGCTGACTTGGAGTGTATTCATCAGAAACGAGACAGCAGCTTCACGCTGTATCTTGAGCTTTTGAACCGTTGAACGTTCGAGGTTAATTCATTACCTTATCATTCCATTGTGGGCGAACACCAACCATTCAAACGTTATCGATCCAGACCATCCTGCTCCGCCCACCTCACCCTCTCAAGTGGAAGTCCACATCACTACATCGGCATCAAGCTGAATGGCTACAGGTATATGCATTCATCAGAGAGAAATATTTACATTATAGAGGTGTGGGGGGTATCCTTCGCACATGAAACAACTCGCCGTCCTTTTCCTCTCATTCATTTCATCGCTTCCATCATATTCCATCCATTCAAGCAAATGACATCTCAAACGCAAATCAACCTCACCTCCTCCACCCTGCCCTCTCCCCTCCCGCTGCCCCTCCTCCCGCCCCCGAGCTATTAACACAGACACTAAACAAATCATCCACAAACGTCATGACCACCTCCTCTCCCTTCTTCACTTCCACTTTGCTCGCCGCTCCTAGTCGGAGACCACCCACGCTGGTGCCGCCGCCGCTTATATGTACGCCGTCCATGCCGAACCCATTGTACTTGTTGTAATTGTCGACGGCCAAGCTAAAGTCGGATTTGGTAGGGGACGTCGGCTTATGTTGTTGTTTTTGGTGGGATATGGAGCTGGAGGTAGACGCCGAGTTTGTATGATCTAGTGGATCAGAAAGTGAAAGGGTTGTCGCATGTGACAAGGGGCCAAGTTGGCCGAGACCCTGGCCGAGGCCGCCGCCACCGTGCGTGTTATGAGGTAAGGGGTGTGTACGGCTGTAGCTTATCACGCTTTGCTCGGATGCTTGATGATCGTCGGGTGATGAGTGTAGGTCAAGTGCCCCTGGGTTGATGGGATAGGAGTTGCGGCGGTTTGTACCAGGATGGTCATGATGAGAGGGGCTTGTCGTGGTGATCGACGACGACATAAACGTCAATTCCGCACTCATGGAACCTGATCGCGGTCTTGATTTGGCGCGCTGGTTCTTTCGGTCATGATGATGCCCATGTTTATCTCCCGAAGTACTCAGGAACCGCTTCTTCTTCCCTCCATGCTGCTGCATCTGCAGATCGAATGCTCCTCCTGCGCTGTTACTATGCTGATGGTTGCCTTGGCGGTGGTTGCTACGCAAATGGTGATGCGACGACGACGTATGCTGCGAACTAGTGACAGCCAGGGCAGAGTCATCGACGGAGATGGAAACATCTTGGGAGATCATGATGCCGCCCCAGGAAAGCTGTCGTGGCTTTGTGTCGCGTGGGGGAAACACGTGAAGGCTGGGGCGGGCCATCATCTCCTCGGTTGGTTGTTGTTGTTGCCCCTGCTGTCGCTCTGCTGAGCCAGGATACGGTGAAGGGGAAGGCGAGAGACGAGGAGGCGATTGTGGCTGCAGCTGGATTTGGATCCCCCCTTTATTGTCGTCCGAGATGATGGAGCTGTAGACGTCGAGGGAGTGGGTTGAGACACTACGGTGCGAAGATGGCTGGAGGACATTTTCCTTGCTGGAAGAGACGAGGGATGAAGAGTCCATGCCGTCTTTGCGCTGGTGACGCCAGGGGTGGAGATCGTGGGACCTGTGGCTCGGTCGTCGCCAGAAGGGGAGGATCGGCATCGACATCGAAGTATGAAGCCAGGAGGAGGATAACCATGCGGGAACTCCTCGTCGCTTGTTGGTCGCGGTTGACGTTGTCCGCAGGTTGTTGAGAATCGGGTAGATCTCCCGATGGACAGACCGAGCGAACGCGCCGTGGTAAGGCGAGTTCTTGTAGGCCAACTGCCGCACCTTGAAGAATGGCAGGGGACTGAACTCAAATTGCGGGCAGTTGACGCTCGTGTGGATGGGAATCATCATGCAGAAGGTGAGCATGGAGCAAGTAAAGGTGCGCGAGTCATTGTCGGGCGACTTGCACGGCACCTGGGAGACTTTGGCCACCAGCGTTGCCTCATCGAACAGCGTGTCGTCGACAAGCGATCGGAGGTCCTTGATGGCGTCGTACAGGACACGAGCAATCTTGGCGTCTTGCTGGGGGATCTCCTCGCTGTGCCGGTACCGTTTGAGGAAGTAGGACATGGACATTCCGTCGTGGCGGCGGAGGAAGGCGAGGTCGGAGGAGTCGAGTCGTTCGATGGGCAGCTTGACACTGGGAAGCAAACCGCGCGCTTCTTTGCGGACCATGACATCGAATTGCTGGATGTCCACTCGTGCCCGGATGGCAAAGAGACCAACGTGTACGCCCGGATCCAGCATCGCGTCTTGCGTGTATCTTTCCATCGACCTCAGCTTCTCCTCCAACTTGCCCGTCCGAATCTGCATGCTGTTGTTCATGATCCTGCAGACCTGGTGCAGGTCCGCAAAGAGGTGTCCCGAAGCCTCGAGCTTGTCGATCGCATGAGTTCCCTGCACCCGCTTGACCAAGAACATCAACGAACCATGTCCCTGATCGCCCGTCTGGATCATTCCCTTCTCTGCCAGCTCCTCCAAAGTCATCTTCTGCGACATCTCCGCCGCCGAAGTCGAAGTCGATCCCTTCCTCTTATCAAATCCACCACTGGCGTTCGAGTCCGGACCATGCACTCCACTCGTCATCCCACCTCCTGTTGTCAGAATCTCATCCCACAAAACGCCCGCTTCGTCCAGCGTCATGTTCATTTTCGTCGAGAGGTCGACAGTCGCCAAGCAGAACATTTCCCGGAAAATCACGTCGTAGTCCTCGATGATTTTCCCTTCTTCGTCGATGAACTCGATGCCCATGCGTGCTTTGCGCGAGTACGAGGTGGGACTGTGCGGAAGCGAGGCCAGGTGCAGCTCCATCTTGTCGGCAATTTTGGAGATGAGGTACCAGTCGCGCGAGGCTTGGTAGATCCAGTGGAAGAGAGGGTGGCCGGTTGAGAAGACGTCGTGTTGAGTCTATTTTTGTCATGTATGTTAGCGTGAAACGGGGGTGGGAAAGAGTAAAAGGGGTGTTTGTGTATAACCTTTTGGAGGAAAGTAGTGGTGATCTCCTCGCTGGGGAGGTTACCATCCGGAGTGACGAGAATACGGCCATGGTCGTCGAATATGGCAGCGGCGAGTGTGATCTTTTGCGCTTTGCTGGCATAGACTTTGCGAACCCTGCTCGAGTGGAAGGCCACGCCTGCCATGACCAAACATGAGGATATAGCCTGTTGCCGTTAGCTCTTTTTTTTCCTTCTTTCTTCCTCCTTCCTGCACACCAGATGCTTCATGTTCCCCAAGACGACTCACCAGAAAAGGCACCACGATAATCGTAGCATTATGCGCCATCATACTCCTCACACTTTCCAGATTCTGCAGCCTGTACCTCGTTCCCACCGCCGCACACCAATGCATGCCACTCACGCTGCCTGACAAGATCACCGCGCACCCCAATCGCTTCCACCAGCTATTCGTCCACTGCGCCTTGAACACAAAAAACAGCATCAACGCCGCCGTGCTCGCAAACACGGCGATCACCGCCGCGCCCACCACGTACCCCGTGCCATAGCTGCATTTGTAGTTGCGAATGGCTGCCGAACCGAGGTAGTGCATGCCACATGTTGCGATGCCTGATAGCGCACCGCACAAGAGGATGCGCCACCAGGTGATGATGGTGGTGTTGGCGGTGATGAGAAAAGCAGACAGCAAGACGATGATGGGCACAAAGAAGGAGGCGACGGTGAGGTCGGCGCGGTAAGCGATTTGGAGAGCGACTTCGCCGTGGTGGAGGATGATGGCTCGGTTGCCAATGTAGTGCTGTCAACCCGTTGCATCAAAAGGGGTTAGTGAGGAGGTCGTACTGTATTGGATATGGTAGAAACAAAGGGATAAGCTTACCATACACCAGATACTAACACCTCCCAACGAAATCGCCGCTCCTATCAGAAGCAAATGATTGTAAAGGCCCTTGCGTGACGTCCTCCTGTTCATCAACTCCAGCGTCGATATCGCTCCGCACAGACTGATGATGTAGCTGAGTATGATGATGCCCGGCGACAAGTGGAATGGGACGATCTGGCCTAGGTATGACTTGGCCAGTTCCGACGGATCTTCCCCATAATGTGTCTCGTTCATATTTGTTGTGTTTCAAGTTGCGTTCGTTCTTTATATGCGTGTTTCGCTTTGATCAACACCTATGTTGCAGTGCCTTGAGTATCCTCGATGTACAAGGATTGTAAAGGTGGTTGATGATGATCTTGTTGATGATGATAATGAACGATGGACCATTACATGTAGGTACCTTATTGTTGACAAAGAGATCCGCGTCTATATCGCGTGGTAGCGTGGTATGGTATGGTAGTAAATTTGTTACTACCACTAATGAAGCTTAGAGGTAGGTAGTATTGGCTTGCTTGTGGTGGTAAAGTCGAAGTCGTAAGCGTTGATGTCGTCGTGGATCCAACATGCCCAAAGGCAATATCAAGGGGCGTTTACGCCGTCATTGGTCGGAGTGGTCCCGTAGATGTGAGACAGCGAGAAGGAAGAAGAGCAACGAGTGGTGTGTGATGGGTACCTCTAGATTGCCTGTGGGGTGATATTGTTCCGGTATGTGTTAGTGTATGGTCGACGTCAGTGAAAGGAATGAGTGTCGATCAGTTCGTTCAGTCGCAGAGATAGATGTCTAGAAACAACCGCAAGGAAACTTTTCACGATAAACAGCAAGCAACAAACTAGACCGTTCGAAAACGAAACAACAAAGCAGGCCAGCGTGTTCGATATATCATTTCTGTCAAAGTCTCCCCTTGCATGAAATAGATAGCGTCGAGCCAGTTGGCCTACCCAAAGCCGGGCCCATCCCAGTTTTCATCACTGCACTAGTGTAAAGTTGACAACGACCCAACCTTGTATGTGTGTAGGGCACAGGGGTCTTTCGATTCGCATGTGGCCAACCTAGTGGGAAAGGGGTTTGTTTTTCTTTTTCCTTAGGGGGATAGTCTTGCGAGAAGTGTGCCTCGGCCGTCTGGGAACTTTTGGCCATGGCCACGAGATGTGAAAAGACCAAATTATCTCACAGATTCACACCAGATGCTTTCACTACATGTAGTGCGGCTGAGTGCGGCTCTCTCGAGGATTCAAAGCCCAGGAGGCGTGATTAGTCGAAAACATGGAAGCCATATCGAGGAGTAGGTGGCCGCTAACCAAGCCCGTGTTTCACTTGGAGACAGAAAAAAGCTCGTGAGAACTTTCCCAATGTGATTGTATGCACGGACACCCCTTTGTTCCTCAACTTACCTACCTAGGTTCTTGGACCTGTTTCTCTGATTTGTTTACTCCCCCAAGGCATGGAACCAGTGCTGTCGTTTCTAGTGTGTGATTCGTTAGCCATTCATCTTGTCCAATCGGCCACGATCGGCTCTTTCGGCTCGCGTATCGGTACAATCCGTGTTCTTTAGGTTATAACCCGTCCTCCTTGCTGTTAATTGGAACTCGAGGGTTCGAGCTGAGACCATCGATCCGCCAAATGTCTGAAGCCTTGATCCCAAGGTTGTCCAGGACTCCGCCTGCTTTTGGCATCTTGGCAGCTGAATGACCGGGACAGGGTATGCTTCTGGGGAACAGTGTGTGCGCGTACACACACTAAGACACCATTCTCTTGGCGACTTGGTCTCGTTCTCGGATCCTCACTTGCTCTGAAAGAGGGCTTGTAATTCTATTCGTTCGGCCCTCTCCCCGTAGTCGTCGTCTCCGGTCTTCTCCACGATATTCCCCTCGGCTGCAGTGTCCGCTAAGATAGGTATTTGATGCAAGCTTGGATAAGGGGTTGACTTTTTCATCGATTCTATCGATTCTAGCGTCAGTGGATCGTCTTCAACCGATTGAAGAGCATTGGCCACGACTGGGTCCGATTGTTCTGGGCGTGCTCCATCCGAATCGGAACCCCGGCGCCGGCATGGCGAAGGCCCGGCGAATGGTGAGTGATTTTTACCTTTTCTGGGGGGGCAGCGACCAGCTCGGCGGCGCTTTGACTTTGCCAAAGGAACCGAAGTTCTCCCAAGCCCCCAAGGAAATCTGTTGATCCATCCAATCTGATCTCGGCTTCGGCAGAAAAGCCGACCATCGAAGGTTGTGTGGAACCTTTTTGGATCCTTTGCGGCACCTACCAAGACTTTTAGGGTCCTTCTTAGTTACATCCCAGATCTTGGACGAGTGTCGATCGAAATCAAATGTCTGAAACGATGACGAACCCCAGACTCGACTCCAGAATGATCTTCCAGTGCACTCGTCTCCTAGAGAAATATGTACGTGAGTGCTTCGGTCGCGAGGTCCTTGAACCGGCATGGCTTCCTTCTCATCCAAAAAGCCATCCAGATCCATTGGGACATGAATGGATGGAGCTAGCACAATGGGAGGCCTAGACCAGACATGGCGCATTGTCCCAAGGAAAAAGCAATGGGCCCTGCATCTCGCCTGAGACACCTGCATGACATTCAGTTGGTGATCGGCGATTCGGTAGTCATGGGTCTGAACCTTGTTTTGGGGTATCTTGGTACACTAAAGGGTTGTGCACCGACATATGAGAGTGGAGGTATGTGTCCAGTGCTTTTGTTCATGTATCTTGAGGATCTCGTGAAAAACGAGGCGTGCGGAGAGGCGAGCGAGAGGGGTCCTGGTGGGTTTTTATCAGCATCACGGAAGTGGCAAATGGAGAAAAGGAACCAAGGACTCGAAGACGGGAGATAGACATGAGGGGAAGAGAGGACCTGTCATTTTTTTTGGTCTTTTTTTTCTTCTTCTTTTTCTTTTCAGCAGCGACGGGGGTCTGGATGCAACAATCCCTTGCATCTCGCAGTCCGAAATCTGAAATCTGAGAATAAATATCCGATATCTGCTCGCACCTGAAAGCCACAAATACTCCTTTGGGGGATGCCTGCACAAGCAACGTGCAATGCCAACGTTGCACGACTGAGCAGCATGCACATCGGCAAAGTGCCTCTAAGTCCTTTCCCGTCTTGCTGCATACATACCTATGACCTGGACACTTGAGGGGACTGCCAGATCTCAGTACCTCTATGCAACAAGGGGCACATACATATGAAGGATGGGAATCTGGCTTTTGGCGGCAGACGGGAGAATCTGAGACTGCATCTGGGAAGGCGGTTCGAGGGCACCTTTTGGTGCCAGGTGTAGTTGCGAGAATGGGATATGCAGTTTCAGGGGGGATTCACCGTACCTCCCATCACACCTGCACAGCTGAGATTGATACCTCTTGCTGTACGTGCCTACATTAACTCCTTACCTTAGAGGTTCCTTAACATCCAACTGCATACCACGCCCAGCAACTCAAGTCAAGGCACACCGCACCGAAAACACTCGGCGAGTTCGGTGACCCTTCATCAGTTTTCGTTTCTTCTTCAAAGGCCAAGAGTATTACCAACAAGCGTATCCCTTGTTACACCTAGCCATCATCCACACGTGCCAAATGGCACTAGGACCAGCGGACATGACCGATGGCAAAACACCCAGGATCAACATCCATTGACGACCGAAGTCGTTCGGACAGAAAACTTCAAGGATGGGTCCTGCACCAAACTCTTGTCGTTTCCCTACGTGACCTTCCAGATGATTTCTTTGACTCCATCCGCGTTGAAGTCCACATGGTCAGCCTGCGGGCGAGGGAAGTGATGATGACGGGACGTTCGGCTGCGATTCCGGTGGTCTTGGTGTTGGTGTCCGAGTTGTTGTTGTTGTTCGACGAATAGCACTCGGTGTCATAATTCATGTCTCCTTTTCGCTCCTGCAGTTCTCCGTTCTCCCGTCATCTTGTTGCGTACCTAGGTACCTACCTCGATCCTGCAAGTACCTCAAGTGAGTTCCGCCCGGCTGTGTATCAGAGGTATGTTTTGCAGCTTCCATGCTGAGGGACAATGCATCTATCCCATGCCCGATCACTTCAAAGGTCGAGAAATCCGAAAATCAATCCGAAGTAACATAAGCGCTTTGATTATATTGAATGTCGGCGAGGTGTACTGTTGTTGCCGTCGCTGGTATCAAACATTTGCCGTTGCTCGTTTCCTTTTCACGTCCCAACTCCAACTCCCTACCCCCCCTTCTACTGCAGTCTTGTCCGTTCCCCATGCGGTTCCCAGACCGTTTCCATGCAATCTCAGCGCCGTAATCCACGGTCCTCACCCGGTCCCTCATTTCACCTCATCCGAAATCCAATGCGCGCGGAGCCCGGACCTTGGGTAGGTGATCTGGGCCGCTCGGCCCTAGACGTCCGCCCCCTTCAGCATAGCTTCTGCAAGTTAGTAGCCTCCCACGTGACACAAGACACCGAGAAAAACAAACTTACCAGCCGTAAAGTCCACTTCCGCCGGCGTGATGCTTCCGCTCGTTGTCGGGCCCGAACTGCTGCGTCCCTGCGTCGACGTAGCAGAAAGGTGCGAGTGTCCGCGCTGGTGCATTTCCGGTCGCACTACTTCCACTCCCTGACCGCCCTCGGCCGCAGCAGCCACCCTCCGCTTGTTCTTCTTCGCCTCCTTTTCCTCCCTCCTCTTTTCCTTCCTGCTGAAGTGTGCCGCTCTTTTGATTTGGTCCTCGACTTTTGGGATGAGATTGCTGAGGACGGTTCCGAGGCGGGCCACGTTCTCAGCGTCACGAGGCACAATGTGGCCGAGTCCGTGATCGTACATGACTGCGCTGCTCGGTTCGCAGACGTTGAACAAGGCGACTGCCGAGGTCAGGAAGGCGTCGTCGCAGCCAAAGATGTGGAGGGTCGGAATGTCGATGCACGTGCCGACTTCGTCGTATAGTTGCGCCGTGATGCGCTTGTCCCCTTCGAATTTGAGGGGCGGTGCGCCTGCGATGAAGATGGCAAACTATAGTTGTTGTACATCCCAGTGTCCCATGTCAGCGTCTCGGTACTATAGAAGACAAACTCCACTCGAATGAGGGTAGGCGTGCGAATCACGAACCTTGATCCTTCGCTCCCTCCCCTTCTCTCGCGCGCACCGCTCCACCTCCTCCACAATCGTGCTCGCCGCCACCATCGCGCCCTCGCTGTAGCCAAGTATGGCATCGATCTCCGGGTCTTCATCGATGGTCTTGAACACGCCATTCAGAGCGTGGCGCCAGGCCTCTTGGTGCCAGTCCTCCTCGACCGTCGCGCCCTGCAGCTGGCGCATGGTGTCTTCGGGGTTCAGGCCGCGCGGTACGTGGCGCAGCCGGCGCAGAGTCTCAAAGGCATCGCCTTGGGAGACGTCGAGAAACCGGTAGAGAGGGGGTTTGCCAAAGTAGTCTTCCCAACCGGGGGGCGCGGCGACTTCGTGCGTGCCTTGCGAGTAGGTGAAGGAGCCGAGACCACGGCGTTTGAATTCTTTCGCGAGAGGACCGAATTGGACTTCGAAGTTCTGTAAAGCGGACCAGAGCTGTCAGTCATTGATGTCAAGTACAGTTTGACCACGCTGGGGGGGTGCAGTTGGACAACATCTCTTGTTGTATGTGTCAAACAAGGGATTATACAGTTCCAGTGAACTTTACTGCAAGATTTGAAGAAAGGGGAGAAAAACAAAAGAAAGAAAAACAGGAGATCAGGGGGTCTACAAACCTGTGCACTGCCGTAGGCACCAGGGAGGCAGAGAAACTTCATCTTGACTTGCTTGTATCGTAAAAGTCTTTTTCCCTCTCGTCTTTCGAGACCCAATGTCGTTCAAACTCGTCGGCACAAGAACAAAGTGAAGTGAAGTTTTTGAGAAGATGGATGGAATCGACTTGACACCAATTCCCATCTATTGTCGCGGTCGACCGTGCCGTTATTATGCCCTTCCCTTCCTGGCGATGTTCCAGGCGTGGTGGCGACTTCTTTCGTTGGTATGGTACGGGGACTTGGGCGACTATCACGCGACGAAGTTCTCTCGATCGTGGATTCCGCGTGACCATTCTGTACTATGGGCGTTAGCTCTTTCTTAGATGAGATTATAAACGTTTGCTGAGACGCTACTGCGATTTTCAGCCCATACTGGGCCACGACGAAGGCCCATCCCCCAGATATATCTTACCTTAGTCTTGAGAAGTTGGGACTAGGAACTGCGGGGTTCATGCCATGAGTGAAAAAAAATGAGGGGGTTGAGCATGCCTGGCGTGTCAGGAGCAGTGGATGGTGTTGACGCGCCGCAGCATGCCTGCCATTCTGGTGAGTTCCATTAGCGCCATGCGTCTACCACCCTTCTCATCAGTACCTCGACATAGATTTCTAGTCTGGCCATTGCTTTTGACTCAGAGGTAGCCTCCTTGATTCGCGTCATAAGTTGGGAAAATATGGATGTTTTTTGTCGACAGCATACTTGCTGGCGGGAAGATGTAGGGTGCTGGTCAAACCCTCTTTTTTCGAGTTTTTTTTTTCTTTTTTTCTTTTCTTTTTTTCTTGTTCTCCTCTTCTTGAGAAGCGCATGGCTACCCTAGGTGGCGAACATTGCGCTACAGTAGGTAAATTGTAGATATTCGGCTTAAACTTCTCCCCTTTTCCTTCCCCTCAGTGTCCTCTCTCTCCCCTCCATACTCTCTTTGGCTGAGTCCATGTGTGCCCTGTTGTGAAACACCTGAGAGGCAGGGCTGAAGCTTTGTTATTGGGTTGAGGCGTCGAATGTTCGTTGTACTTCGAGATGGTGTACGAGTGTTACGCCGAGAATGGTTTCTTTTTCTATTTGTCGGCGTTGAGGAGGAAGAGGCTGGAGGTGATGGCTGTGTGAACTGAGACCATGTGGCTGGCACACCAGCCTTTCGGTGTTGGATACTGTACGAAATGGATATGATGTGGTTGTCGGAATACGTTGGACGAGTTACGGTTTGCGACTGGATCGCTGTCGGTGCCGCACGAGACAGTGTGACTAGAGGTACTTAAGCTTTCTATCACACATTTGATGGGTTTGGGGATGCCCTCAGTGCCCTCCTCCTTCCCTCCTCTCACTACTAGCATCGAGCCACTCTCGTTGGCTGAGCCTGTGTGGTTCTCTGTTCATGGGAAACAACACCCGAGAGGTAGAGCTGGACTTTCGTCGGATTCGGGCCTCGGGCTCGGGTTCTCCTTTCCGAAATCGTTTTACGCGTGTAGTGTACGCGTCGTGGGGTGTGTGTTCCTATTCCTGTTTGCGAGTATGCACCGGTCGGCACGATGATGCCTCAGGAGCATTGCTTCGTGCGGGACGTCCGGGAAAGCAGAGAACAGGCCACACAAGCAAAGAAGATAGAAAAACAGCCCAACGGAGTTAGATGGGCTGTAGTCCGTGCGGGCTTCTCCAGCCTGGGTTGTGGTTGAGGAGGAGTTAGAGAGCAAGCGTGTTCACATGTCGATACCTCTATAGCCTCTTGTGGTTGGGGTCCATATTTGTCAGGCCGGCAAGCAGCGTTAATGTGCTTGTCCAACAACCACACCGCCAGTCATTGACGGCTGCTAAGAAATTGTTAAACTGAAGCCTGTTTTAGGCACCATCCCCAACTCAAATTGCTCGAAGTTATGGGTCTGGACGTGCAGCCCGGCACGAGCTGAGCAATAAGGCTTGCTTGATCATACTAAAATAAGCTCCCATGAGTCGAGCTTGGCACACCCATGCGCAAATGCTCGAAAGCTGGGCGGTGAATGCAAGAGAGATGGTTCGAGGTCGTCGTCTTCATGTTGAATCAGTCGTTGGTGGGGAGAGTGAGCTGGTCAGGGCCACGGGGTTATGTATGGAGTTAGACGCAGTCGTCGAAGCAGAAACCGAAAGGTTTTGGAAGCCTCTTTGTGCTGGGAAGAGATCATGCTGACTTCCTTCGAATCACGCGAAGCTTTTCTTCGAGCGCCTGTAAGGGTTACGGGCGGTAGGTCGATTGTAGGATCGATTGGTCCCGGAGTCTGGGGAACGGACGATCGCGTCAGGCTGGGTTGTCGGCTGGAGAGACTGCATTTTGCATAAGAAGGCGACATAGCCATCCAGCCATACCTACCTCTGCATAGTAAGGTTGTTTGTGTCCAGCCACAGAGAGGTTTCTTCACTACAGCGACGTAGTTATCTCCAGATATCTGCAAGCGGCTATGGAGTGATACCGGGCGAAAGCATGATGCCCCGTCACTCTCTCACATGTTGTCCTCTAACCTCGCTGAGGCTGTGTCCGTGACTGTCAACTGTAAGAACAGACCCTCATAAGACTAAATACTCACCTCAATTCTTCTCGTAAGCTAGCCCATGCCTCATTGACGAGGAGACCACCAAATTAACCGACATCTCGCCCAAGCCGCCATCACATTTCCAGCAGTCAATCTTCGTCGTTGATGGTTGTCGCTCTCTTTGGTCCTCGTTAAAGGCTTTCCTCTCACTCCACCTCACCTCGTCTCTCATCACCTCTTTTCAGTCCCTCTGATTCTTCACTCTCACTTTCTCTCTTAATTTCACTCTTTCCGACATCTGGCAGCTGTGACGTGGACTGACCAAGAAGCGTCAAGTGGACTGCTCACTACCCGTTACCCAGCAACGATAGGTAGTGACTTCCATCTGAACTCGGGGTGACTGACAACCTTTCAAGTGGAAGAGCGCCTGCTGGTGCATGGTCTACAAACCGGCAGGAAGATACCAAGCTGGCACCGGGAGACGCGGTACCTTCCACATTCACTTTCACTTCCGATTCTTGGACCAACCCTTCCACCTTCCCCCCTCCTTCTCGCTCTCACTCGTGCCATCATCCATCTCCCCCCGTCCGTCACCATCCTACTTCCACACGGGTTATCCAAAACATCAACCTTCTACCAGCAATACCGGCTTGACGACTATATTAAGACAACTTCTCTCTCGCCAATTACCTCCTTGGTCTTTTGCCCACGAAGCCTTGTTTGACTCATTCCGAGCGACTTATTATAACACACCAGAGAACCGATCAAAATGGCATCCCGCGACCCTGGGGCCAGGGGGGCCACCGCCGGCCCGGCTCCCTCGCCCACACAGCAACCCTCCGGCACCCCGGACCCAGTAGCAATTGTAGGCATGTCCTGCCGCCTTCCTGGGGGTGTCGAGACACCAGGGGATTTCTACCGCATGATGTGCCGCGGGCGGTCAGGTTGGTCCAAAGTTCCCAAAGACCGATTCAACCAGGAAGCCTACAACCACCCGGATCCGGACCACAAAGGGACATTCAACTCGCAGGGCGGATACTTCATCAAGCAGGATCTGAGCGGGTTCGACGCGGCGTTCTTTGATGTCACAAGACGGGAGGCGGAGGCCATGGGTTAGTACCTTTTCTGTTTTGCGTTTGTTGATCTCCGAAAACAGGAAGACAGAAGCGAACAGTGGGAAAGGAGTGAAGAGAAAAGGAGGAGAAAAGAGTTCACGGGGGTTGATAGGGCATATAAAAGGAGACAATGGCTAACAGAACCTGAACACAGACCCAGCCCAGCGCCTCCTAATGGAATGCACCTATGAAGCCTTGGAGAGCGGCGGCATACCACGCGAGCACATTGCAGGCACCCGCACCGGCGTCTTCATTGGTGGGAACTATGGCGAGCACCGACTTTCACATATGCGGGATCTCGACACGATCCCCTCGTTCGATGCAACCGGCAACCAACCAGCCTTCTTGTCCGGCCGATTAGCGTACTACTTTAACTTGCACGGCCCGACCTTCACCGTTGACACGGCGTGCTCTTCATCTTTGCACGCTCTGCATCTTGCCGTCCAGTCCATCAGAAACGGCGAGTGCGACGCGGCAGTGGTGGGAGCGAGCCATCTTATAACTCAACCGGATGTATGGGTGTCCATGTCCATGCTTCGTCTTTTTTCTGACGAAGGACGGACGTACGCCTTCGATCATAGGGCCAAGTCCGGCTACGCCCGCGGCGAGGGCTGTGCAGTAATAGTTCTGAAACCCGTCGAAAAAGCATTTAAAGACAACGACCACATTTTCTCCGTCATCAGCCACAGCGGGGTCTCCCACAATGGTCGCACCGTCGGTATCGTCGCCCCCTCCCCGGACGAGCAAGAACAGCTTTTGCGAGACGTCTTCACTGCCGCCAAGATCGACCCGCGCGAGGTTGGCTTTTTCGAAGCCCACGGTACCGGCACGAAGAAGGGCGATCCGATCGAGGCCACAGCCATATACAAGGCCGTGGGCCGGTATTTGTCCGCAGACGACCCACTGTATATCGGCAGCAGCAAACCAAATGTGGGACATCTTGAATGCGCGAGCGGTCTGGTGTCGGTGATCAAAGGGGTGCTCTCGCTTTACTACGGGTTCATCCTCCCCAATGCGGATTTTGACAAGGAAAACCCGGAGATTCCATTCAAGGAATGGAACATGACGGTCGCCAAACAGCAGAAGCCATGGCCGGCACACAAGAAGTATGCATGCGTCAACAACTTTGGGTTTTCCGGGAGCAATTCGACGTGTATCTTGGCTGGGCCACCAATCCATCGCAGGATCGAGCTGGGCGAACACGGCGCGTACACGACTCCGAGGCTCTTTGTGCTGTCCGCCAACGATGAGCAGGCGCTAAGGACGAGTATCAAGGAACTGGGTATCTGGTTGGAGCAGCATGCCGAGCTGTATCAGACTACCATGCCGCGGAATTTGGCGTATACGCTCTGCCAGCGAAGGTCGCATTTCCCGTGGCGGGTGGCCATCGTTGAGTCGATTTGTTCTGGTCTTGCGGGATCGCTGAACGGACACGACCTCACTCCCATGCGCGCTTCGTCAGAACAACCACGTCTGGCATTCATCTTCACCGGCCAGGGAGCGCAATGGTATGCCATGGGCCGCGAGCTCTTGCAGACCCATCCCCTTTACCTTAAGGCCATCAAGCGAGCCGATGAAGCTTTGCGGAAGGTGGGCGCTGATTTCTCCATTTACGAAGAACTCACGCGCGACAAGGAGACAACCAAAGTAGGGCAGGCGCACATTTCTCAGCCCATCTGTTCCGCTGTGCAGTTGGCCTTGGTAGACCTGCTGGACTCATTCGGCATCAAGCCCGGTGCTGTCACGGGCCACTCCTCCGGCGAGATTGGTGCTGCGTACGCAGCTGGCGCGCTGACCTTTGAAGGGGCGATGGAAGCCGCTTACTACCGCGGCCAGATGATCGTCGAGCTGAAGAAAGCGTACCCCGAACTCAGAGGCTCCATGCTAGCCGTGGGCTCCGGAGCCGAAGAATGCGCACCTCTTCTCCAGCAAATCAACACCTCGGCATCCAAAGCGGTAGTGGCCTGCGAAAACTCACCCTCTTCCACCACCATATCGGGCGACGAATCCGCTATCGACCGGGTCGCCGAGCTGTTCCAGAAGAAGGGCACCTTCAACCGTAAGCTGTTCGTCGACGTCGCCTACCACTCTCCGCACATGGCCTTGATTGCCGACAAATACCTCCAAGCCGTCTCACACATTCAGCCACCTGAATCGCGCTCCTCTTCAACCGTCGAGTTCTACTCGTCCCTGCACGCCCGCCGCCTGTCCTCTCTGTCGGAGCTTGGGCCTTCTTACTGGGTCAACAACCTTACGCAGCCCGTCCGCTTTTCCACGGCGTTGCAACACCTCATCTCCGGCTTCCGGCCGGATATCCTGCTTGAAGTTGGGCCCCATGCGGCGTTGAAAGGTCCGATAATGCAAACCATCAAGTCCCTCTCTTCTCCTTCACTCGGCACTTCCCCTTCTACCTCCACGCCGTCCACAGGGACTTTCCCCCCTGGCGTCGGCAACATCGCTGCAGTGGCCACCAAGCTCACCTACCTCTCTGTTCTCGACCGCGCCAAGTCCGCCGCGCAATCCGCCCTCGAAGCGACCGGTGCTCTTTTCACCCGGGGCTTTCAGGGGCTAAACTGGTTCAACATCAACCACAACCGGGAGGAGTACGAGCGTCCGGACTTGGTAGCGGGGCTATACAGCTACCCCTGGACTAGGCAGTCGTATTGGGCCGAGAGCAGGATTACAAGGCAGCATCGGTTGAAGCCATTCCCGAGACATGATTTGCTGGGCGTCCTGGCAGATTGGAGTTCAGATATAGAGCCTACCTGGAGGAATGTGTTGAGTGGAGGGGTCTTACCTTGGTTGAAGGACTATGCTGTCCAAGGTCAGGGTCAAAGACGGAGGATGGTCTTCCCAGTGTCGGGGTTTGTGGCCATGGTGGTGGAAGCGGCGTGGCAGTTGCATTTGATGAGGCTAGAGGGGGATGCAAGCAAGTTTGAGGTCAAAGACCTGAGGGTGGAGGAGCAGTTGTGGCTGGAGGATGAGGAGAAGGAGTACGAGGTGCTGCTTACCATCCGGCCTGGCGACGATACTGGCCGGCGAGACTCGTTTCGAATCACCTCGTTTGAGGAGAGTCGCGGGTGGCTTGAGCATTGCACAGGTTTCGTCAAGGCTGACTCTACCTCGCCTGTCCGCCAGCCTCTCGGCTTGTCAAGGCCGCGGGCGCAGTCTCATCCCAAAACTGTAACCTTCGGCGAGGACACTGTCACCTCCGCCTCTTCCGTAGACGGACAGTCCGACTCCGCATCCGGTTCTTCATCTCCAAAACCCGCTTCATCCTCGGCCTCAGACAGTGGCTCCATACACATTGATAATACCACCGAAGCAGACGTGCCAGCCGCCCAGGCCCAAGGTTCAACAACCCCCGACACACCTGCCTGCTCCGGGCACAGCACCTCTGCCCCCGCTTCCCTGGACAAGAAGAAGCTCGAACAGAAGCTTGAGCATGCGAGGGCCACACACCCGTACAATCTGGAGCTTCACTCGAGCGAGACCATCTACGGCCATCTGGCTTCCTCCGTCGGTGCTCAATACCCCAGCGGTTTCAAGACTTTGACGGAGGTGACAGCGAATGAAAACACCGCTGCGGCTAACTGTGTGGTGAAAGAGACCAAAACGGAGATGCCGTTGGGCTATGAGACTGGGTACAGAATTCATCCAGCAGTATTGGATGAGCTGCTGCAGCTCCCTTTGTTGAGTTTGGGCGCCGGGGTGCAAGACAAGTCCACTGGAACGTCGTACTTGCCGGCAGCGATCAGACACTTTACCATCAGGTCGCGATGGAAGAAGAAGCCCGGTCAGACCTTCTGCGCTCACTCTGGTGTAGAGAGCAGCAACAAGGGGCGTGATGCAAGCTTCATGATCGAAGCCTTTACTTCCCCAGGCTCCACGACCGCGGCGATCTCGATCGCTGGGTTGCAGTTTGAGAGTCTGGAAGCTGAAAAGAAGGAAAGTGGTAGGCCAAGGGAGTTGTGCTTCCAGGTGAGATGGGAGGAGTTCAAGACTGAAAACAGGCCCGACGCCGATAACTGGGATGATAACAAGGCCGATACACAAGAACCGGAGGACAAGTCCACTCCCAACATAGCAATCATAACCGAAATGCCCAATCCCGATACATCTCCGCTGATTAAAGCTGTCTATAGCAAGATTCAAAAGCAGACAGGAAAGCAGGCACGGATCTCTTCCATACAAAAGATCACCGACTTCACCAAATCATCCTTCCTGGTTCTCTCCGAACTCGACCAACCCCTCGTCAGCTCCCTCACCAACAAGAACCCTGCTGCAGAAGAGCAACTGAACCAGATCAAAAAACTATTGACCACGTCGTCGGGACTGCTCTGGGTAACCCGCGGCGCAACCCGCTTCCCAACTTCCCCAAACTCCAACATGGCTCTAGGTCTGTTGAGGACGGCGAGGAGTGAAGCTTCGGCGGTTGCTGCTGCATTGGATTTGGATCCTGAATCGAGACTTTCTGCTGAGCAGCAAGCCAACCTGATTTTTCAGGCATTCAGCCGATCTGTCCTCTCCTCCTCTTCTGCCGCCCACGACGAGAACGATCCCGAAAGCGCCGAGCTAGAATTCGCCGAGGAGCAGGGCAAGCTGTACGTCCCAAGGCTGGAGCCTGATCCGCAGCTCAATCTTGAAATCTCCCGCGAACTTGGTCCCTCCATCCCATACACCCAATATTTCCACCAAGACTCTCCCGAGCTCAACGGACTGAGGCAACTAGAGCTTGCACCCAGCCATGGACCCAAGGGTAACCTGCATCACCTCCACTTTGAAGACCGCCCAGAGACTGTCTTGAAAGACGACGAGGTAGAGATTCTGGTAGCGGCAAGCGCGATTACGCTTGATGATGTTGACTACATCCAGCATGACGCGTCCCAACACCACCACATCGCGAGGGGCTGTTCCGGCACCATCTCCCGTGTTGGCAGGGGGGTTCATGAGGTCGCTGTGGGCGCCTGCGTCTGTGCCCTAGCGGAGGGCCGGTTCGGCACGCACGCCCGAGCAAAGGTAACCAGCGTGGTGCCGCTGAACAGCAACATCACGCCCGAAGTAGGGGCCGGGATTCCCGTTTATATCGCTCGCGCGTGGCGCGCCCTCGTCACTCTCGGTTGCGTACACAAAGGCACCAAACTGATGATTCAGCTGTCCGGGCCGACGAGCGTCGCTGCGGTGGAAATTGCCAAATCCTTGGGCGCAGATACGTGGGTGTATGTCACCAACGACGTCGAAGCCGATGCGGCGCGGAAAATGGGCTTTGCGGGAGAAAGGGTGTTGGATGAGCGAAGCATTTACATCCGAAGAAAGCTGGATGAAGCCACCGGCGGGACAGGGTTCGAGGTGATCTTGACGGTGTCGGGGGGCAGAAATAATGGAGGCGAAAACGAAGCCTGGCAGTGCCTAGCTGACTTTGGCCGGTTGGTAGAGATCAGGGCATCGGGGACGCAGAGTTCGAGGCCGCAGTTGGGCGCTAACGCGACGTTTGTGAGCATCGACATGGTCAGCTTGACTGTGGGCAGGCCGCAGGAGATGCAAGAGACTTTGGCGGCCGTCATGCAAAAGCTGGAGAAGGGAGAGTTCCAGCCGCCGACCAAGACGCATGTCTATAAGGTGTCTGAACTATCAGCGGCGCTGGAGTGGGTGAAAGGGGGCATGACAGTGTATCCCGTTGTGGTGGCTGCTGGAGAGAAAGATCAGGTCAAAGTATGTCATCGCTGGAGGTGCTTGTCAGTTTGAGCAAGTGGCTAACGAGCAACAGGCAACATACCGCAAGTCGAGGGGTATCTTCCGGAGAGATGGTACTCATATCATCATTGGTGGCACCGGCGGCCTCGGTCGATCGATGGCCAAGTACATGGCTGAGCATGGTGCCCGGCACATTGTCCTGCTGTCGAGAAGCGGCGGAGGAAGGGAGATGGCTGAGCAGCTGGAGAAGGAGATTGCTTGCCCTGATCTGCACATCCGGGTGGAGAAGTGCGACGCGAGCGATGAAAGGCAAGTGCGCGAGTTGGCGAAAGACTGCGCTCGAGAGTTGCCCAGTATTTGTGGTGTCATACACGCCGCCATGGTGTTGAGGGTATGTTGTGACTCGTCCGCTGTTTGCCTTGTACGTCAAGCCAGCTAACAGAACCCAGGACGTCCTCCTCGAGAGCATGTCCTTTTCCGACTTTACCCAAGTCATCCGGCCCAAATTTGCTGGAGCCTGGAACGTGCACAACGTGCTTTCAGATACCGGTGCCAACCTTGACTACTTTGTTGTTCTCTCCTCGGCCGCTGGCATCCTGGGTTCCCGTGGCCAGGGAGCCTACGCAGCAGCGAATACGTTCCTCGACTCGTTTGTGCAATATCGTGTGCGCAACGGCCTCCCCGGCACCTCGCTCGACCTCACAGCCGTCACCGACGCCGGATACCTCGCCGAGAACGCAGAGCGGCAGGACGACATCATGCGCAACTTTGGCAACGAGACCGTCTCGGAGCAAGAAGTGCTCGCCTTGTTGTCTGCCGCGGTCCGCGGGGTCAGCCCGGCCCAAGTCCTCACCGGGCTCACGCTACACGTTCAGGCGGATGGGTCGTGGCCGTACTATGCCTCGGACGCGCGCTTCACTCAACTCAAAGCCGAGTCTCTGGCGGCCGCTGAGCGTGAAGGTCACGTTCCCAAAGCCGCAACGTCTGCGGGCAATGCCTTCCGGGCAGCCAAGACGGACGAGGAGGCCATGGCGATTGCGGGCCAGGGCATTCTCCAGAAGCTGTCGGATGTGTTGACGATTGATGTGGCCAACCTGGACGCGACGAGGAACATTACGAGTTACGGGTTGGATTCCTTGACGGCCATCGAGTTGAGGAACTGGATTGCCAAGGAGTTACGGGCCAATTTGCAGATCTTGGAGCTGTTGAGCAGCGGGACGGTGAATGATTTGGCGGCGATTATTGTGCAAAAGACGAGGGCCGGAACATGATTTGTATGCTCGGGGCGTCTTTGATTATACAGCATGAAGGTCTGGAATTGATGTTGCATTCAGTGATAGTACGGTATGGGAGGACATGTCATGATACCACTCAGGAATAGACTGCCGACGGATTTCGTTCTCTCGGCAGTCGCTTCACAGAAACCAGTATGTCGGCCATTGGTGTTTGTTTGGTCGGTGGATGGTCAAGTTATAGAGCTGGGTGAAAGCGATGTTATTATTGTAGGGTTCTAGTCAGAATGGCGACACATTTCATTTTTCGTCGGTTGCCTGGTGTCGAGTGATGAGGTTGACCAGAGTCGGGCAAGTTGTTGCAAGGTAGGAAGTAGTAGGTAGTTTGTTAGTGCAAACCTCCTTTTCCCATCAAGTTTCGCCGCTACGGCAGTTGCTTTGCTAACACTGCCACATTGCTCGGCTGGCTCCGATCACCCCGCCAATCATTACCTAGAGGTACTAAGTACCTTCAAGTTGCCCCTGTATCAAAGCGGCCAATGGAACTCGCTCCAGCCAAGCAAAAACACGAGAACAGCCAAATCACGAGCGATGGAAATGCACGGCCAAGCGCCCAAAGACCATCTGAAACACGAACCTTTTAACTGCTTGCAGTGTGCTCTCAGATTTCCAATTTGGGTGTCGACAACAGAACATTCCATGGGACAATTCTGAGGACCAGAGGCAACCCCGGGTCGGCAAGAGACTCGAGAGGCCGCCGTCTGCAACCTAAGGTTTACACTACTAGGTATACTAACAATATCCACTGTTGCCCGCTGTTTCAAACAGTGGCTAGTTCATCACAACTTCTTGAACAGGTCCTGTCCAGCAACTCCGAGCAAAGTCCAGTCGCTCCTCCGCCGACTCGCGATACTTCCACATCCATAACACTCACCGACTCGAGTCAGTCTGTACACACTCAGCAACCCGAACCCGACTCGGCTGTCCTTCTGACCAGCCCAACCGTCGTCACCGTTCCCGTCTTTTCGACACCCGACCAAGACACAGCCCCCCGCGGCTGACGATTCGTTAGCTTCCCAGCACACACGCCTTTTTGGTTGAAGCACAAAGAAGGGACACCGGGCCAGTCCCACGACAGTCATATCACAACGACCAACCCTTGTCCTGCTGGCAGGCAAGCAAGATACTGTATCACTTTGGGATACAAGAGCTGGGAATATCCACGACATTACATTACAGCATCTCGAGAACCGCATCATATTACACCATCATCATCATCACGCACATGGCCGCCAGACAGCACGTGGAAGCGAGGTCGCTCTCGACACTCAACTCCCTCGCCGCCAACCCCCCACAATACCCTCACAGCGCCGATGTCAAGGAGTCCTTGATCTTGTACATATCACGAGTCCCCGGTAGTCGAGGTATGTCCCCATCATTACCATACCCTTCCCTTTTCTCTCACTAAACAACCCGGGCCACAGATGTCATCCTCTCCCCCTTCCGTCCGCAGCGAAAGAACGTGACGATAGAAGACATTAACAATGCTCTCTACCTGATACACCTTGACCTGCCCACGGACGAACTACTGGTCGAAAACACCCGCCCAAACGAGACATCCACTTCCGCATCGCCTCGAACTAGTGGTGAGAGCGCGAGGAGTGTGATTCCCCGGAAACCGTTACCGCCTAGTGCCCGCGTCGAGCTTCCCACTCCGAGACAACCGTCTGCAAACGTGCCTGCGACTCATAACAAGAACAATGTGCCCAACAATACCGGGCCGGTACCGACCAGGTCGCCGTCGGTCAGACGTACAGGTTCTGTAAGACGCCCACAAGGCCTGGGTTCGGAGAGAGTTGAGCGGGCTGTACCTGCTCAGGAGCCTGTTGCCGGGAACGATGGATACAAACCGAACCCCATGTTCCAGCCCAGTCTGGTTTCCGAACAGCCTCCCAGACAAACGCCTCAGCTCCCTCCCCCGGCCGAGAATCTAGCAGCGATGCGCCGTCCCTTTGGCCCACGGCCACAGACCTCTTTGACGATTCCCGAGGAGCCGGCTGTCAGCCCTGGGACGACCCCAACGAGCAACCGACCCATCTCACCGACCGATCAAGCACTTTACCCTCCTACTTCCAACGTCCCCCGGCCCGGCGATGGCATCCTCTCCCCTCCTACCGTCACCCGTGCTCGCGCCTCCAGCAACTCGAAACTAGCGGCAACAATTCCTTTCACGCTCACACTCATCCGGCGGGATCCTTCGACCAACCTCCAGTGGAACGTGGGCAAGATCTCTTCGTTTGAGACAAACATTCCTACTCCCGAGTCTGCCCATCCGGATCTCGGTGAGCTACACGATGCGTCAACCCCCGAACCACCGCCGCCGATTGCGACGCAGTTGATTGACATCCATTTGGAGACATCCGGGTATGCAAAGTACAAGGGAATGCTCAGCCGTGCAAACATTGAGGCTTTGCGGCCGACTTCCCCTCAGTCCTTTGCCCGGACGCTGCAAGGCTTAGGGACGAGTTCGGGGAGTACAAGTGGGAATGGAAATCAGGGTGATCGAAGATCAAGTGGAAGCCCGCAAAAGCAGATCATGGGTGTAACGCACATGGAAATGGAAGAAGGATTCCATCGCCAGGTGGTCATGGCCTACACCAAATCCTGGACCTCGGGCCTCAAAGGCGCTTTCAGACGACACTCCCGCTCGGCCAGTACTGCCTCGGCTACCGCTGGCGACCTCCCGGGACACGCCCGCCATGGCAGTTCCTCAACCATTGGCTCAGCCGATCTTTCGCCTAACGAACACCAAAAGCCCCAGTCTCCCCCGCCCAGTCACAACCGCCAGGATTCCATGGGCGGTGGCCAACTCATAACCCAACCAGGCCCCAACCTCCGCCCCAAAGGCTACGTCTTCCTCTCCCCCTGGCTAGGCCGCTGTGAATTCCGCACCGGCTCCACTGGCCGCTCCTTGAAGTGTCGACACATTCTCGACGAGCACACCGGCGGAATTAACCAGCTCTCGCAAATTGACCCCGCCAAGCTCGCCCAATCCGTCCGCGACGCGCCCACTATCGGTCAATCCCGCGGCGACAGTTTCAGCTCCGCCATCACGGGCGCCAAGCCCGTTTCCGAACTCCGCTTCAACTTACCCTCCGAACCCCGTTCGCCTGGCGCCGGCACCGGCACGGAGAACTGCCCGCCGGGTCACACTGCCGGATCGAAGCGCCATTTTCGCTTCTCCAAGTTCTTAGGTCTGGAACCTCCTAGCTCGGAAGACGAGTATTTCGACGATGAGGATCTTTTTGATCCGAATGCATTGGGCAGGGAAGATGCGGGTGGAGGATGTAGAGGCAAGAGAGCGAAGCTGGGGAAGCTGATTATTCATGATGAGGGACTGAAGATGCTGGATTTGGTGGTGGCGGCTAATATGGGGGTCTGGTGGAATACGTGGGAGAAGAGGTTTTAGGAGACCGGGACCAGGGAACACAGGGACAAACACAGTGAGTCGCTAAGAGGGTGTTTGGGTTTGGGAGGCGTGAAGGTAATGAGGAGGGGAAGGGGGGGTATTGGGAGGTGGAAAAAAGGGGGGATGGAAAGGGAGATAGTGCGGTGTCTTGGGTAATAATCTTGGTACTAGGAGGGAAAGGGTGGAAGTTAAGCAAGGAACCGAGGGGATATGGAACAGAAATAGGAAGGGAAGAAAGAAAGGAAGAAATGGGGAAGGTAGGGAGAGGCGAGGGAACAGTACATAGATAGCATGATGGCATAGATAAGATACCCATAGCGTAGCATGGTCAAAGAGGTAGCATGGTATGAGGGATGAATGATGACTGATGAATTGAGCTGGCAGTGTCGTATCTTTTCTGTGCTGGTCTGGTGTCATTGGTGATGATCATGCTGGAAGTGAGCTGGTGCCAGAGGCAGCTGAAACATGATGAGGGTGTGATCATCAGAGAGGAAACAGAAAATGTCCTGTCTGCAGTCAGGTATATTTTGCCCCGGAGGGAAAGGCTCATTCCGCTGGCCCTAACGATATATCGCACCGAGGGCTTTTATGATGTACGTCTTGGATTGGACATGACCACAGATTGACTACCTAACCATGAATTAATTAGTGTAGTTGTATGTACATCAAAAGAAAGTAGCTCCCCACCTAGGAGAGCCATTTGTTATTTGAAACTCGAGACGCGTAACGCCACTGCCATCTACAAAAAAACACATTGAAACTAACCGCCAGACGCAGAACATCTAGGGTATGGATGACTATAAGGGCAAGAAACATGTATCGTATACAACAACTCGAGAAGATGACTTGGAAGGAAGCAAAACACTAACCCATCCCCAAACCGAGACAAAAAAAAGAAAAAGCTAATCGTCAACAGTAGGGTTCGAACCTACGCGGGCGAACCCAACAGATAGGCAAGAATAGTGAGGATTATTCAAGTCTGTCGCCTTAACCACTCGGCCATGTTGACAAGTGGATGTTGTTGGTAGTTTGACTGACCATAGGAGGCTAATATAGGGGAAGCAGCTTCAGTTCCCCTGAGCTGAGTGAGGGGTTGGGCTGTTGGTTGGTTGGACTTGGAGCTGCAGCGGTGGGAGCTTGAGTGGGGTCGGTCTGCCAGCTATGGTGGGGTACGGTGACTTGGCGGCAGGCACTGGGAGCGGCGTTGAGAGAGGATCACGTGTACAGTCACGACTTCGCAACACAGCTCGCCAACTGCAGCCAATTGCAGCACAGCCTTTCCAATCCACTGTCCCGTGCCGTACTGTAGGCTCCAAGGCTCTGGAAGTGGACGTCCTGTCGGCGATACTCGCAAGCACACGGCAGGGATCCATCGACAACCTACCGACCGACGTCAAGTTATCGCAGCCCGGGGATCGTTGCTGAACGTCCGTCGCCCCCATCAGGTTCGTGCGCTGTCTCCGCTTCCCGCCCTTAAGGTTGAACTGCTTCGATCCACTCTATAATACCGTCGTCCCAAATTGGTTCTGGTTGTTACCAACCTACAGAACTGAAGTTCGAAGCCGAAACAAAGGAAACGACATCGGAGTGGAACCGAACGAAGTCGTCGCTGAGTCGCAAGCGCAGAGAGAGCATTGTATTAACCTGCGACATCATCAAACCAGGCTTGCGACGACAACCAACTACCTACCTAGCCACTCCTCTAATAGCACCTGGCGCAACGCAAGTCGCAACCTTTGCCTTACCAGCCAGCCAGCCAACCTCAAACCACAATTAATCACACCATCCACCGCAACCGCCCATCATGCTCACCACCACTGCCTCTTCGGCTGCGGCCGTCGCGCGCCAACTCACCACCCGCCGAGTCATTGCTCCCTCCTTCGTCTCCCAGGCCATCCGCACCTACGCAACCCCGGCCGGTCCCCCGCCCAAGGGCTTCCGCATTCCGGCCCCCAAGACGTGGGACCAAGAGGAGGAACACGTGCTGGACAAGAACGGACGGTACTTTCTTTTGACGGAGATGTTTAGGGGCATGTATGTGGCTATGGAGCAGTTTTTCAGGCCGCCGTAAGTACTTTGTCTGTCTTTTGTCTGTTTGCTGGCTTGGGAGGATAGGACGTGGTGAGTGGTGACAGTTGGAAGGATCGGGGGTGAGGAGGTGGGCAGGATCCACGACATGACAAGTATCATGACTCGCGCACTGGAGAGTATGGAGATTGCGGCTCTGCGGCTCTCCGCTTGGTTAAGCGCGCTCGTACTGTGCTGCTCCTCCCGCCGCTCCTCATCACGACGATCAACAGCTCCCTAACGACTGCCCAAACCCATCTCCCCATATCTACTGACACCCCCATCCCAGGTACACAATCTACTACCCCTTCGAAAAGGGTCCCATCTCCCCCCGCTTCCGCGGCGAGCACGCCCTTCGTCGTTACCCCTCGGGCGAAGAACGCTGCATCGCCTGCAAGCTCTGCGAGGCCGTCTGCCCTGCTCAGGCCATCACCATCGAGGCCGAAGAGCGTGCCGATGGAAGCAGAAGGACGACCCGCTACGATATCGACATGACCAAGTGCATCTACTGCGGATTCTGCCAGGAGAGCTGTCCCGTGGATGCGATTGTGGAGAGTCCCAATGCGGAGTACGCGACGGAGACGAGGGAGGAGTTGTTGTATAATAAGGGTGAGTTCTTGTCTGGGGGATGCGTTGATAGGTTGTTGCTGTTGGGGGGATAGGGAGGTATGACATGTGCTGACAACAGATACAGAAAAGCTACTCTCCAACGGAGACAAGTGGGAGCCTGAGCTTGCGGCTGCTATTCGCGCCGATTCTCCTTACAGATAAAGGGGCTACGGTGTGAAGACCGGATAACAGGACGGACAATGAGGACAGAGGTTTTTTTCTTCTTGTTGCTTTGCTAGAGCTTCGGAACCAGCAGTTTCGGACGGGTTGCGGTATCAACAGGACGCACCATTGTGTTGTAGAAGGCAGGCAGGCAGGCAGGCGGACAGGCAAAAGAAGGCTGTATATACGTTTGTGAATGGCGTCCCTGATCCAATTTCTTGTCTTTTTGGAGTCTTATCTCGCCAGGGAAGATCCTACTACTCGGCCAAAGGGACGCATCAAGAAACCTGAAGATGCTTGAAAGGCTGAGTGTATAATTAGTGTACGGTACCATTTGTAAGATACAAGCTGTATCGTCATGAACTCCATCCCATCGTATCCATCAACCAGGATTACCCGTCTAACAGGCGAGTGGAGTGATCCTGCCCGTGGGGTGTTAGTGGAGTATCTGCTTAACACATTTCTCCGCAGTGGAATTCTATACCCGCATGTACAAGGCGGTACCTGAGCGGCCTGCACGTGACTCGGCTGACGAGTACCTAGCAGAACGAGCTGAAGCTTCCATGGCTTCAGTCAGTTGCGGGGGAGCATCGAGGTAAGTAGGTACCAAGGTACCTCTACACGCTGGAGCTCCAGAGTCAGAGCCCAGGCGGGTTTGTTAGTGTAGGTAGCTTGGCCGCCGCCCGCAGTTGCCCGCACCCGTTTCCCGCGCCCCCGCCGAAGTAGGCGAGAAATTTATCATCATCATTGCTGATTCCAGCCAACCACCGCCCAGCCAGAGAAACCCGCAACAACCTCGTCCGAGAACCACCGAGTAGTAGCGTCACACTCATTTTCGGCCACAGCCTTTCCTGTCACCACCACCACCTCAAACACCCGACCGACCCGCGCAATTGACCTTTTCCGCGACAGCCAACCCAAACAAAAACAAAAATGTTCCGCACCGCCGCCCTCACTGCCGCCCGCGTGGCCCGTCCCGCCGTCGCCTCCGCCGTCCGCGCTGGTGTTGCCCGTCCTGCTTTTGTCCAGGCCGTCCCCAAGGTCGCTGCCTTCCAGGCTGTCCGGTTTTACAGCGCCGGTGGTCACCTCAAGAAGGATGAGGTCTTTAGCAGGATTGCGCAGGTGTTGAGTGGATTTGACAAGGTGCGTTCTACATCACACGAGACCTCACGACATGCACACAAACTTCGAGCAGGAGGATGAGGAGGAGGAGCAGCAGGAAGACAGGGGATAAGGAAGAGGTGTGAAGAGGCAGAGGGATACAAGTGGTCTAGGGACATACGCTACGCGAAGATAAGAGAAGGGAGCGTGCGGAAGAGCATCATCATCGCAAGCGAACCAACCTGGAGACAGAACGCAATCGGGAGGAACAAGGAGATGCAAAGAGCATAAGGCCGCGACGAGAGCACTCGAAACGAGAAGGAATATATTGAAGAGTACTGCGCGCTGCACACGCTGTGCCATGGCCGGTATTATCGGGAGCTCGGGAGCTTTTTGAATGGGTTGCCCTGCCGGCTGGGCCGGTTCTGCTCAGATGATGATGCTCTCGCCTCGCTACTTTGCCCTTTTTCTCTTGCTATCTTGCTGGTCAACTTCTTGTCCCTCCCTCTTCTTTCTTCCTTACCTCGGCTGGATCTCCCCTCTCCTCCAGCCTCTTCTTCAGAAGCTCCAACAGTCCCGTCCTCGCAACCTCTTTCAGGTCCAAGCTAACATCTCCTTTCCAGGTCAACGACCCCAAGAACGTAAGTACAGACGCAACCACCAACATTTCCTCCTCACTGTCACGGAGACGAAATATGCTGCGATCTTTGGTTATGATGGGTCAATCCCAGTGCCCTGTGCTCCCGGCCTGAAAGTCTGGAAGGAGAGACGAGACGGGCAAACCGCAAGAATAGATGCAATGGAACGAGAGACCAAAGATACAGCGATGAGAGATTCTGACACAAGTTTGCGCATCACAGATCACCGAGACCGCCCACTTCGCCAACGACCTCGGTCTTGACAGTTTGGACACCGTTGAGGTTGTCATGGCTATTGAGGAGGTATGTTGCTCCCCTTACTTCCCTTGTCTTGCTTCAAAAGATCCGTCGCTTTCCAAACCCTCTTAGTTTGGGCCTCAACCTGTTCCCGTCCCGTCTTACTCTGCTGTTGGGGTTGGCAAGTGTTCCGCTATATGGTCGCATGCTTGCTCCATGTTAGATTCCCTTCTCAGCCCAAGCTCAGCCTCTTATCACAATCACCCCTCAACCCGAACACAGTCATAGCACATGGACGTAAAACACGATGCTAACAAACCTACCCGCAACAGGAGTTCTCCATCGAGATCCCCGACAAGGACGCCGACCAGATCCACTCGGTCGACAAGGCCGTCGAGTACATCTTGAGCCAGCCCGATGCCAACTAAAAAGTCCTCTGTTCCGTTCCTTGTTCGAGCGTTTTAGAAACCCCACTACTTGCGCAAATATAAAGCATACTTCTTCTCCCTACCCTTCTTACCTACCTTACCTTTTCACCTCTATCCTTATCCTTAACTAGATCGATTCGAAACATATCTTTGTCATTGTTTGAGATTCGATTCGATCTGTGTACCATACGAAAACTTAGAACCTGAATGAAAGAAGAGATGATGGATGGAATGGAGCATCGTGATGGGTACGGGCTAGATGTGAAATGTGGGCAGGTCGGACTTGCTCTTGATGTTGTTGTTCTTGTCAGAGTTGTTAGTTTGGGTTGGTCGACGCGGCGACAAGTTGCGATGTCTGGTGGTCACTTAAGTGGTAATGTGGCAGGCTCAATATAGCGGTGGTGTCCAGTCTTATGCTGTTGCGTTATGTTTTGTTTGTCGCAAATATTCGTACTTACATACCCCCCCTTTTCTTGAAGTGAAAGCTGGTTCAAAAGACGAAACAAATAAAAAGAGAGGAGCGATGGATGGATGGATACCTCAAGGTAGTATGTCTGTCTACACTAGGTACATACCCATTGTCGCGCTGAGACGCTCGCTGATGGGAGGAGTTCTAAGCAAAAAGAAAGAATTGGTTCACAGCGAAACCAACCGACTACAGCTGATGTAGGAAATATCATCCGCGCGCTCTTACATGCAAAGTAAATTATAATGACTGGAGCGCATTCAGTGGAAGGCTAGCATTCATATCTCGATGTCTGATCACTGCAGTCAACCAATTCAGTTCAATATGCGTACCTTACAACCAGCTCTTGAGAACATAATCGCCCCCTTGAAGCTACCTACCTACCAAATTCTCTCTCTGCATCATGAATGATATATTCACTACGCCATCATTTCTCTCGCCCACCATCCACACACAAACAAACAGACCAATACCTGAATCGCGGCGAAATTGGCAGGCGAACCAGGAGAAACCATCTGACTATGTACCTACCTACCTTGAACTGAATATGTGATATTTCTCAAAAAAGAGCGTCAAATTTGTTGTGACCAACCGAAGATTGATGTGACGGAAATCTTTGACACTCCGAGTATGTCTGGTCGTCCTTTGTCCCACATCAATACCTATTTAAATCGCGGCATGAAGCTACTTACCTACATTCACCACCTCAAATACCTGCACTCAAGATCACGTAGAGTCGGGTTTGTTATGTACTTTAAGCCAAAAACTGTTCTCTGTACTTACAAGGTTTTTTCCTTTTTTTTCCTTTTTTACCTTTTTTTTTTTTTTTTTTCTTTTTTTTTTTTTCCTATATCATCTCTTTTTTTTCCTTTTTTTCCCTCCTTCTTTCTTTAAGAAAGTATTCATTCCTGGGAACTTGATAGTATCAACTCCATCCACTTCGGTTAACCTACCTTTACAGTGTGTGCGTACAAGACGCCGAGCGAGGGGTTTAAAAAGGAAACAACAGATTTGATGATCTATAAACAATATCATTCAAAATAACAATACTGTCGCTGCTCTGTGTATACAGCCAAGATACTACTTAAAGCAAGAAAAGTGTCATCCACCAGCTACTCTATACACCATTAATCCTACACTACCACCCCTGACATACATGTCATGCAACTACCTTGACTCCGAGAGCAAGGAAGTGAAAAACAGTTACAACAGTTGAAGACCAAGCAGAATTCAAGCGCTTTTGATCTTCCCCTTTCGTGATTAGATCCTTCAAATGTTTTTGTTTTGCACGCCATCCCCCCCTCCGCTCAGTTGTTTTCCTATGGCCAAAGTATGCTTGTTGCTTCCCATCCAGTTTTCTCTTCCCCTCCCATGTGCTTTTGTTTTGCTCAGTTCCATGAAAGAAAACAAAAGAAAAGAAAAAAAGCTGCCAGATTATGTGTCATATCCAAAGGACCGCGCGTCTATGCATATAAAGATAGTGAAAGTTCGATGTTGAATCGTGTGAGATGGCTGAGATTGCTGCAGTGTTGAAAATTCGAGTATCCGGATCGAGCAGCGGATTGCCCATTGAGACAAGGCGGTCGATCATTTCCCACCAACAGCCCCAATAGCCCCCACCTTGCTGACACCGTTCTGGCCGTTCTGACCCTTCGAATCATCGCCGTTCGCACCACCGGCCGCCAATCCGTTCCCACTAGCGCCCGCATAACTTCCCCAAGGCGACGAAGATGACCCGCCGTTACCCAACGAGCCCCCGTTTCCCAGCGGGCTACCGTTACGCTTCTGGTTCTGCCCCGCATGGGTGGTGTCCTCTTCCTCCTCCATGCTGAAGACAAACTCGCTCTGTTCCTCCTCCTCACCTTCCTCATTATCCTCATTGATGATGGGTGTGGTAAACCTCCCGCTTGTCGAGCTCATGGAGTTGGAGCTAATGTGCCTCTGCAAGCTGTCTCCCCTTTCCTTTCCAATGACACCGGCTCCGGAGGCTCCATTGCGGCCCAAGTTGGGGTGAAGACCGCGGGGACTAGAGGAGGTGACGGATACGTCCTCGCCGATTTTGCTACGCTGGAATTGCTGAGTGAGCGCAGACAACGACTCGCCGGTCAGGCTTCCTTGGCGGTTGGAGTCCTCAGATACAAAAGCACTGGCTAGGCTCGAGTTACGTAGCGGGCTGCCAACGTGTCCAAAAGCCGAGGGCGGGTGCTTGATGCTGCGGCCAGCGATGGGCATAAAGCTGAGACTGCCGCTACCTCCGTTGGACTCCAACTTTTCTCTCTCCTCTTCCTCCTTTTGGCGCTGGAAAAGCGGTCCCCATCTGCTCGGGCTTTGAGAAATCGGGCTACCGAACTTGGTTGCGTCGAGTCCGGTAGAGTCCAGCGGGGCGTCGAAGCCACGAACGGTAGCGGTGCTAGATCCCCTTCTCGCGCGTTCGGCCGGGGTCAGCAACTCATTAGCCAACTCTGCCGGCACGTAATCCTCCTCGTTGTCAAAGATCAAATCAGAGTCCCAATCCCGATCATGGGGGACGCTCTGGCTCATCAGCCTGGGCTTTGCAAACCGGGTCGAACTGCTGTGCATCGGCCTTCTGCCAAAACCGAAGTCCTCACCGCCGAGGCTGGAACCATAGAAGGCCGCCGAGGAGTGAGTGGGCGGGCTATTGGCGAATCCATCGCCGCTGAAGAGGGACTGGGAGATGTTGTCATTTCCACCGAAAGCGGAATTACGTAGCGCACGGAGGGTGTGCGAGGTGTTGACGTCCTGGGTCACGCTCATGCCGAGGGAGCTGGACTCCAGACCGAACTTTTCAGGAACCGAGGAGGGCCAGGGGCCGTAGCGGGCGGCGTGGGAGATGCCATTGCTGTCGAAGGAGGCGGGGAGGGGTGCGTCTAGGACCGACAGGCCCTTGGGGACGGGAGAAACGCCAAGACCGAAGCGAGCGGCAAGATCCTCATCCCGGGGAGAGCCAAATGCGGTAGTGGGGTTGGAGGTATAAGTGGTATCGATGGTCGGGATTCCATTGCCTCCGCCGTTCTGGCCAGGCTGAGGGACGTATTGTTCATCGTGATGGCCGTAAGCGGAGGCGGAATACGGGGGAACGGCGTCGGCGCGGAGGAACGAGTTGGTAAGGGCGCTGTTGGATGGTTGGTGGTAAGTGTTTGGGTTCACGCGGGCACCCAAAGCGACGGGTGGGGCACCGATCGTAACACCGCCTTTGCCATAGTTGACACGGCGGCCGTCGGGCAACACGTGGATGTTGGCACACTTGGGACCGAATTTGCAGTTACCCTATAATCATGGTGGCACAGGAACATGTCAGCAGGAGGACGACAGGATGGAAAGGCCCGGGGATTTGGGTCCTGACGGTCATACCTTGGCAAAATATTTGCACACCGTCTCGGCCGCGGCACTGAGGTCGTGGCTGAAGGGACAGGCGGAGCCGGCCTGGCAAGCGCCCTGGCGGAAGAACTTGCACGGAACATGTGATGTGTCTGGGAAAGAGTAGTGCGCGTTAGCCCATAGGCGACACTTTGGGGTATTCGTTGTGAAATCCAGCATCTTGAGGGGATATGGTGCTTGGTGCTCTGACTCCTGTTCTCACAACGACGACGAAGAAGAAAATAGCGGGGAGAAGTGCATCATCATCATCAGGGCAACTCACTGGGCGGACTACGCGAATGATCAAATCGGTGTGTTGCTGGCAGTTGGCCGCCAGGCATGGGCGACGCAATCATGGTCGGGGCAGCACCAGGCCCGGCGGGGTTTGGGTTGATGTTGAGACTGCCCGATCGTATGTGACTGTGACTACGATAGTCGGCGGCCGCACCGTTGGTAGCGGACATGGCGTTGAAGTGCTGCAGCGAGCCTTGGAAGGGGCGCAGATTGGGATTTATGAAAGCTGTTCAGTCCAGGTATGACTCTTATCGGCGGTGCGATTCGGGGATCGGACGAGGCAGCCCGAGGCGCGGTAGTCCGGTATCAGGCCGTTGTCAGCCCGTCGTCGGTGCGTAAGTCCGGCTGCACCAGGAAGGGCCCGGGTAGGTGGCTGGCGGGTCGAAGAGGTAGGTACCGTACTTGATGCCTTTGTGCCGGATGTCCGTTGATGTTGCTTTGGACAATGGCGGCGGTGACGGAGTGGAAGCAATTGAACTGTCGATTCGAGGGTTGGGCCGAATGTCCAAGGCAAGGTTTAGGCAAGGTAGGCAGAGAACTGAAGAAGTAAAGAAGTCGGGATGAAGTGGTGACAGGCAGGGGGGAGGTGGTGTTGAAGAATCGAGATGACAGCCGAGGCCGGCCACTAACAGGCGGAGACGAGGCAGTTGGGGTCGGGGTTGGGTGGCAGAACTGAAGTCGGGACTCAAGCTGTACAATAGGTAGTGGGAGGTATAAATGTGTAGGTAGAGGTACTGTATCCAATGTGCAGATACGTCAAGGTAGGAATAATATGTCGAAGCAAGCTAAGGTAGGTAAGGTACGGAACCTTTACATACACGATAACTCGGCTCGGCTCCGATCGCAACAAAGGGAACCGGAGGACCTGGGAATCGCCTGAGGGGAAAAAAGATTGGATTGGAATTTCAGTTGGGCGGTGGAGGGGCGGCGGCCCGATTCTGATGGCCGGGCAGCCAGTAGCAGGGCAGGTAGGGAATGCTTGCTGTTAGGTAGTGCAAGTCCCCGAATGCGCTTGCTCGGTTCAGGCGTGTTGTTGGGCAGGTTCGGTTG